GTGATCAATTCTAATTACTAAAGTAAACGTTCTTCTTATCAGTAGACAGGGTTAATCATCACTCTCCTAACTATTAATACTTCACACAGTTGTTCACAAAATCAAATAAGATAAAGTATGGAAGTAACTGATAAGCCATAACATGCTAAGCATGAAATGTGGATTTATTATTATGTAGAACCTCATTGGGACTCACATATATAAAAAACTGATTAATCTGGTATAAACACACCTAATAGCAATAATTTAAGCATACCCTTAAAAAGACCCTGTATGGTGGCCAGGCGCAGTGGCTCACGCCTGTATTCCCACCACTTTGGGAGGCCAAGGCAGGCAGATCACATGGTCAAGAGATCAAGACTATCCTGGCCAACATGGTGAAACCCTGAGTCTACTAAATATACAAAAATTAGCTGGGCATGGTGGCATGCGCCTGTAGTCTCAGCTACTCAGGAGGCTGAGGCAGGAGAATCCCTTGAACCTGGGAGGTGGAGGTTGCAGTGATCTGAGATCATGCCACTGCACTCCAGCCTGGTAACAGAGTGAGACTCTGTCTCAATTAAAAAAATAAAAATAAATAAATAAATAAATAAAGACCGTGTATGGAAGATACACGTGAATGTGTGTTACAAGCTAGGGAATCGAGAGGAGTCACCCCAGAGATTTGTTCCTTATCTATGATAAACACCGGAGCCTCTCCCCTATCCTGTGGAACGCAGGCCGTACAGGGGATTGAGGCCCTGAGTTTTGGAGTAATGAAGGTTGCCAGGTGGAGGTTATTAGCAGGAGGTTATTAAGTGAAAATACTATATAGACTACATGATGTCGGCAGGTGGTTGTAGTTTTTCTGGCCAGCCCTGCACCACTGGACTGTGTATGTTAACGGTGGAGGGTGTCCAGGTTCTTGGCGTCTTAAACAAAAAATTGGACAAAACATGCAAACAAAGCAAGGAAGGAATGAAGGGTTTTATTGAAAATGAAAGTACACTCCACAGTGTGGGAGCAGGACTGGGCTTAGAGACTCAAAGGCCCCGTTACAGAATGTTGGGGAGTTTAAATACCCGATAGAGGATTCCATTTGTTACTTGGTGTACACCCTTTGTAAATGGAGAGGATGAAGTAAAGTTACAAAGTCATTTATGGGATATGCCCTGGGAGAGGATATTTCCTGTGATATGGGAGAGGATATTTCCTGTGATAGCCGAAGTGTGAATGGGCCTTATGTTTTCCCTGCCTGTAGACTTTATGTTCCTGCTTCATCTCCCTGCTGAGAGATGTGATCCCCATAAATCTTTATGGGAGGCAGAGGGATCGATGGTGGGATGGCAGATACGTTGTCCAGCCCGCCACTGGACTCTCTCCCCGTCACGTAAGCCCCTAATAAGACATGGCATCTCATTTGCTGGCCTTGGGTCTCTTCCTCCACCTCTTGAACCTGGTGTCTTCCCTATTGAGGTTAATAGAGGTTTGGCACAACATCCATGGTTTCCACCTAATGTCTTTCTTTCACATTTGGTGTAATTCTTGGCTGTTGCCCATGGCTTTGGCTTCTGTTTAGGCCCCTCTTCTTGATTTCTCTCTTTCTCTCTTGTACATTTTAAATTTATTTTTTAATTGACAAAAATTGTATTTATTTTTGGTGTACAACATGTTTTGAAATATGTGTACATTGTGGAATGGCTAAATCAGGCTAATTAACGCATATATTACCATGTATACTTGCTTTTTTGTGATGAGACTACTTAAAAATCTACTCTCTTAGCAATTTTCAAGTGTACAGTACAGTACATTGTTATTAACGACAGTCACTAAGTTGTACAATAGATCTCTTGAACTTATTCCTCCTATCTAAATGGAAATTTTGAATCCTTTGACAAACCTCTCCCAGCTCTTCCCCCAGCCCCTGATCTCTGCTTCTGAGTTTAATTTTTTTAGATCCCATATAAGTGAGATCATGTGGTATTTGTCTTCCTGTGCCTGTTTTGTTTCACTTATATCTTCAAAGTTCATCCATGTTGTCACAAATGGCAGTATTTCCTGCTCTTTTAAGGCGGAATAGTATTCCATTATATACATATAATGGAATCTATATGATATGTATATCTTACAGTTTCTTTATCCATTCGTCAGTCCATGTGCACTTAGGTTGATTCTGTATCTTGCTATTGTGAGTAATACTGCAGTGAACATAGCAGATATCTCTTTGACATACTGATTGCATATCCTTAGGATATATACCCCATGGGACTGTGGGATCATATGGTGGTTCTATTTTTAATTTTTTGGGAAACCTCCAAGCTGTTTTCCATAATGGCTACTAATTTACATTTCCACCAACAGTGTACAATAGTTCCCTTTCCTCCACAACCTCTCCAAATCTTATCTTTCATCTTTTTGATAATAGCCATTTTAACAGGTATGAGACTATATCATATTGTAGTTTTAATTTGCATTTCCTTGATGATAAGTGATGTTGAATTTATATATGTATATATATATAAAATCTGTTGACCATTTGTATGTCTTCTTTTGAGAAATACCTATTTGGGTCCTTTGCCCATTTTTCAATTGCATTATTTGTTTTCTTGCTATCCAGCATAATTTATTGAAAAGGCTATCTTTCCTTCAGTGAATTGCTTTTTTGCCTTTGTCAAAAATCAGTTGGGCATGTCTAGGTGGGCCACTTTTGGGGTTCCCCTGTCTGTCTCATTGATTGATGTGACTATCCCTGCACCGATATCACACTGTCTTGGCTATTACAGCTATATAGTAAGCCTTAATAGAAGTAAAGTGATTCATTCCACTTTATTTTTTTTTTCAGAATTTCTTTAGCTAATCTGAAGCCTGGAACTTTTTAAATAAACTTGATATGAATTTTAGAATGAGCTTGTGTGTGTGTCTACAACAGACTTGCTGAGATTTTGATTGGAATTGCAATAAAGCTATACATTCATAGCTTGGGAGAATAGATGATGTCTTTATTATGTTGAATCTTCAAATCCATTAACACAGTATGTTTCTTATTGACTTAGGCCGTTGACTTCTTTAAGCAGCATTTTATAATTTTCAGGATATAGATCCTGTATATGTTTTGTTAATTTATACCTAAGTATTTCACTTTTTGTAACAATTGTACGTGGTAATACTATTGGTAATTGTAAATGGTAATGTTAAGTTAATGAGTGTTCTCTAAGAGACCTCTCCCAAAACACAACAAAGAAATATAGGGTTAAAAACAGACCAGAAAAATATCTGATCATAGTTGATGCTTTATGTGATAATATGCCTTCCTGTCTGAAGGAGATGGAACTGAGGCACCCTCCCAGTGAGGTTGGTGACCAACTGCAACTCCAAGTTTTATCTAGGAACCTTTCTTATATTCTTTGACTCAATATCTGAGCTAAGTGACCTTAATTTAGTTCTTCACTTCTCTGAGGTTTAATTTCCTTTGTTATAAAATAAAAATGACAATGCCTTCTTTACAGATAATAGTGAGTAGATGCAATTAAAAGAGACAGCATATGTAAAAGTATCTGGCACATAGTAAATGATCAAGAAATGTTTCCTTCCTTTCTCTCCTCCCTTTCCTTCCTCCCTCCTTTTTTTCTTTCCTTTTCTCTTTTCCCTTCCCTTTATTCCTGATTCATGCCACCTGGCCAGTTTTTTAATGCTCGGTGGGCACATTTGCTCCCATCTGGGGAGGACTGTTAATCTAGCAGCAGCTTGGCTGGTTGAATTGGAGGCTGACTCCCTCATTCCCAGCTTGTCCCCCAGAATTCCTCTACCATATATCATGCTGCTGGATGATGTAACAATGAAGATTATTAAAATAATGAAGTCGATTTCTTCCATCTAAATTCTTTATGCTGAGCAGCTCAGTGACTTTTAACACATAATAAGCCACTTTTTGGTGTTTTCACAAAAGGAAACTGGTCTATAATAGTTACTTATGATGAAGAGACCTGAAAATGCCTCTGACACATAACTGAAGCCCCTCAGGCCATTTATGATCTGGGTGTGGGCCTCAGCAAAATACAGAATGGTAGAGAAGCAAGCTCATAATTTGATGCAGAGACTGTCCTGAAGTTCTTGGACCGAGCCCAGAGCAAGGCTCAGTTGAGAGTGAGCCAGTGGAGGTTAATCATCCTCCTAGTGGAATCCAGCCTGTACCAGGGATGGCTCTATGTGGAGGCCCTGAAGAAATGAGGCAAGTGAAAGTAATTTCTCCTTTAGAAATTCAAATTAAACCAGAGCCCCTAAAGAGCTGATTATCTCTTTCTTCTCCCCATTCAACAAGTGTTCATTCAGATAATTTGGAGTAATCCCTTCCCTCCTGGCCCCAATAGTAGCTACCAGCAAGGCAGATGCCACAGGCCTGGCATGGGCCTCAGAAGCTCTTAGAGCTGCAGGCTGGGGGCATCTGCTCCAGCATCCTACTTGTTGTCAGATGACCAATTCTCCTAATTGGTCAGCAGCCAGGAGAGATTATGTCATCCACTGTCCTTCACCCATGAGTGTCAAACCAAGATAAAATTCAAGGGTCAGAAAACATGCAGTGCAATCCTAACCTTGCAGGATGTCTCATGAGAAGAAAAAACTTTTGTTGAAAATCTGTTTATTTTGCATTAGAAATAAAAATGCCTCTTTGATATTGCATTGGCTTAGGATGCAGAGAGACACAGAGACAGACCTTCAAATAGTTTTTGGTTATTGCTAATATATTTTAAAATTTTCTTCAAGGGTTGCTTGTCCCAGTGATAATTTCTGTCTTGGAGTTTTCCCCTTCAGGTGCTTCTAGTGGAGGTCATTAGAGTGGGAGTGTTTAAGGCAGAAGATTAGTAAAGAGCAGTCAGTTGGCCTCTGACACATGACTGCCAAATGTCTGATGCACCCACCGTGAATTCATCCAACTTGGACGCCTCTGGAGACGAATGCCTAATGCAATGGTCCCTGAACACAGTGAGCTCACTCATGCTAATCTCTTCCTCTTCTTTCTCCAGCAAGGACTGAAAATAGTTCATCATGCGGAGAAGACACTGTCTAGCTTCTGCAAGTGGCAGAAGAGTATCAATCCCAAGAGTGACCTCAATCCTGTTCATCACGATGTGGCTGTCCTTCTCACCAGGTACACCAGAGACTATATGGAACCCAGGGGCAGTAAAGCAGGGAGGGCTGGCAGGTGAAAGACTTACTAGGTATTCAAACCCATGACATTCTCATTATTCTTTGCTGCTGTCGTAAAGACAGTGTCTTTGATCTAGTCAACTCCTGACTTCCTATCAGTAGAAGAAACAGCTTAACAAACTTGCTAATACGACAAAGCTCTCCCTGTGAATAAACTGCATCTGCTGGCAAAATGCAGACCTCTTTCCTATCCCACTGATTTCCTTTTTAAAACTGGTTTCTTCATGTAGCTCTATAAACAATCAGGAAGCTTGTTTGCAGAGCCTCATTAAAGACTCTTGTTACTTTTAGCCAGTGGGATTTCCAATCCTTTGCTATTTTATTTTTCTACAATGTAGAAACATGAAATATCTTTACAGAAAACAGTCCACTTTTTAACTGTTTGATATTGAGGACAGGATATGGGGAGCAGGTCCCCACTGAGTAGGCAGACTGGTTTGATTACACCTTTCTCCCTTCTACTCCCATGAAAATATCATTTTGTTGTAATCACAAAGAGAGCCTATAGTGCTAATAAGAACCATCAAACCTTCCAGGACTCATAGCTGTAAAAATCCAGTGAACTTTCTTGATCAACTCTTGCTCTTTGAAGCCTATCTTTGCTCATTGATTCAATAAATATTTATTGAGCACCTATATATACTAGGCACTTATTTTAATCTAGATGAAAGAAGGGCTTATATTAGAATGGGGTAAAGTAAAATCTTCTTGGGCTCCCTATGCCTATTTGTCCAGAACTCCAGAGATGTATAGTAAAGGAGGCCTCTTGGCCCTGCCCTTCTACCACAGAGAACCTCAAGCACTGAAAAGCCCTTGATGTGCACTGTGCCTGTGGAGGATAGGCTGCCCGTGAACATTTTGGCCCTGTGATCTGTCCCTGTGATAAGATCATCTCAATGCATAGAATCCCTACAAGGAAGGATAATCAGCCCCCACCCTATCCAAATGTCTACCTTGCCATGATCCAAAACTCCAGTCATCAGAATCACTCTTTTGAGTGAAAGTATTAAAACGCTGGTTAAATGCAAATGTATCCCACGGGAAGTTTTTGACATAAGCCTGTGGCAGTAGGTTCATTAGGTTCTAAGAGACCTTGGGTTGATCAGTAGCTCCTCTGAGAAATAGCGTGGGTATGGAATGTAAGCACAGGGGCTCTGGGGAGCTAGCAGACAGCCTGGGGACACTGAGGACCTGGTCAAGAGGCCAGGTGAAGGCTTCAGTCAGACAGAAACTTCTATAGGGAAGAACCCCGAAGTCAGGGAATGGCATTGGCCACTAAATTGTGTCTCAGAAAGTCATTCCTTCCCCTGAGAGCAGAATGAGATGCTCCTGTCATTCTCACCTGAAGAAATGGGTGAGTTAATGGTAGCTTACATGTGTGCAATGTTTGTTATGTGCCAGGCACTGTGCTATGTCTATTAGAACAGCCATTGTTCCATTTACTTCCCACAAGAATACCGGTAGTTGGCTACTATTAGTCATTCATATTTTACATATAGGGAAACTGAGCCTTGGTTATATCTCATGCCCAAAATCTCATTGCTGTTAACGGGTACAATTGGGACTTAAGTCCAGGTAGTTTGATCCCAACAGCCATATCCTTACCTATTACCCAATATGAATACAAAGGATCTGCTCTCCTTTTTTCTTATAGTCACTTTCCTTCCTTAGGACAGGGGTCTTTTTGCATAAAAGTGTGTTGAACCTCAACAGCTCCTAGACAGTGGACAGCATTTCAAGTTCTATAGCAGTATTTCCCACCCTCAGCACTACTGACATTTGGGGCTGATGATTCTTTGTTGTTGGGTCTGTCGAGTACGTTGTAAGATATTTAGCAGCATATCTGGCCTCTACCCATGAGATGTCAGTAGCACTCTCCTTCAAGCTCTGACAGCCGAAACTGTCTCCAGACATTGCCAAATGTCCCCTAGAAGGGGATGAACAGCAAAATCACCCGCCCTCATTGAAAACCACTTGCTGAAAAAATAGGTAGGATCACGAAGGAAGGGAGGTATGAGACTGAGCTTTGCCTCTGAGAGACTATCCTAAGATCCACATTAACAGAGTTCTCTACAGAACAGCATTCAGGAGAAGGAGGATTTGGCATGGAACACACCCAGTGTGGGTTCCACATGTGCAACTAGTGCCTGCTGCAAGCCAAGGCATATTTTCTGTTACATAATGGCCCAGTGCATGGTGGAAGTAGAGCTGAAGCTGCTTGCCTGTAAGAACCATGCTCCTATAATTCTTTTGTTAGCTGCTTTTTTCTTTAGTGCTGGACACTTCATAGGCACTCCATAATCAGTATTTAATGTGCCTGACCTCCTGCCATATCAAAATGAGAAAGTCAGGGGATCAGCAATGAGCACCACTCATCTTTTTCCAGCAGCTTCACGCAGACCTGGGCTTTTTGAATGAAATAACAACAAGTACATTCTGCAGCAGGGGTAGAAAAGTGTTTGATTGGTTCTCTTATAGACCTGGAAGTTATGTAAATCACTGGGCTGTATAATCTCGCTCTCCAGTACTGAACCCCCAGTAACTGCTGCTGCTAGTGAGAGTGCAGATTTGAGTTTGTGGTGCATGTGCTGAGACTGGGCATGCTCTCTCCTGTCCTATAAGATTCACATGGGTTCTCAAAGTCTGGATCTTTTCCATGGCCCAGTGGATGAAAAAAGCAGGAAACCATTTGTTGCTAGAAATGGTGCCCACGCAAACCCCGTTAGCTGCTGGTGTTCAGTTAACTAGAGCTCAGAACGTTGTGGTCATTTCTGCTAGTCACTCTTGGAAAAGAGCTCCTTTTGTGCTAAAGAAAACCTAATGACTAATTAATGACTCTTTCAAAACTCTTGTCTGTGATTGAAATAATCTCTACCAGTTTATGGGAGCATGTTTTTTCTATTTAAAAGCCATCATTAGTATTTTCTGAGATTTTAGGTGTACATACACACACAGGCATGCATTCTCTCATATATGCAATATTGTTAGTGGAATGGGGCTGGATAAACAATGATTAGATCTCTGGATAGGTTGATGGGACCAACTGTCTTTTTCAGGAATGGGAAAAAAGAACTTCTTAGATGAGTTTCGAGCACAGACCTCAGAAAGACTAAAAAGGATTTTCATATTTGAAAAACTCCAGTCACTGCTGATTGTTTCTTCCATAGTTAAAAGTTCAAATTAACCTCAGTTTTCAATAAAATCTTTTGTTGGCCAAATCATGTAATTTGACGTCCTGAGATCCAGAACAAAATAAGCTCAGAATAACACATTTGCTACATTTTCCCACATTCTGTGTTGGTGAAATTCAGTAATCAAAAGGTAAAATCAGAATCATCTTAGTGAATTCAAAATTGCTGCCTACATTCACGTAGACTGTTTTAAAAATGCCAAGCATACTTTATAGACCCTATTGAATGAGTTTATACCCAGATTTTTTTCCAGGAGGTTTTTCCAGATGTTCCTTTGGTCGCCTGAGCTTCTCTATTCTCTGCTTTCAGAAAGGACATCTGTGCTGGTTTCAATCGCCCCTGCGAGACCCTGGGCCTGTCTCACCTTTCAGGAATGTGTCAGCCTCACCGCAGTTGTAACATCAATGAAGATTCGGGACTGCCCCTGGCTTTCACAATTGCCCATGAGCTAGGACACAGGTAAGGGGCCAATGATAAGGAGGACTGCTCACCATATTCATGTGTCAATATCAGCTGAGAGAATGGAACGCACCTCAAATTGGGGGTCAGGAGACTCAGATTACAATGTGGCTTGCAACTCACCCTCCTCAACCTCTGCTTTCATCTGTAAAGTGGGGATAGTAGCACACCTCATAGGCTCCAATGTCCCACTGCCCACACCACGTACACCCACACATATCACAGAACCAAATAGGCCACTCCAATTCTCTGAATTTGAATGGAGGAAGGACAGAGATAAGCTTGAACTCAGTTGTTTAATTGAGGAATAACCCTTGGTTAGTTCTTACGAAATGATAATGTTAATATCACCAAAAAGCCACAAAACCTAACATTTTTGCACACTTACTTTGTGCCATTGTGCTTTTTATTGCATCACTGAATCTGCTCAACAACCTTTTGAAATAGATAGTACTGTTAGTCCCATTTTCCTTATGTTTATTAAAGGAGGACATGGAATAAATAAAAAATTGAAAACTGCTATAAACTTGGAAAGACTATAACGTGAACACCAGTTAACTGGATGTCCAAGTTGTTCACAAAAATATGTGAATTTGATTAGGTGAATTCCTTGAAGGCAGGTTGCAGAATGCCTGAGTGAAGATATAATGAGATTCTGAATTCCACCAGATATCAGAGGTTTCCATGGAGGAAAGATCTTAGCTTATTTGTAACTTTATTTGCCATTATATTTGCTAACTACAAATAAGAGAGCATCATACTAATATGAAACTGGGTGGGGAGGTGCATGAACCACTGAACTATATCCCCCGCCTGTCATGTATCCACCAGCTTGGATCTCCTCCCTTTGAAGAAGGAAAAATGCTGGGGAATATTCTTATTGCACAACTAGAAAAGAGGCAGGATTGGAAAAAACACTAGATACTGAATTATTCCAGGCCTGGCCTCTCTAATTTCGGCTTGCTCACCATTTTTCTAATATAACACTTCTAAAACAATTTTACCTGTATTATAAAGCCAGAGCATTGCCTTGAGAATTGGAGAAAGGAATTGTTGTTTTGACTTTTCTGTTGACCAATATTATGACCTTAGATAATTCCCTTCACCACTCTATATCTATTTCCTCATCTATAAAATGAGTAGGTTGAACTAGGCAATATTTAAGGCGATTTATTGGATTCTCACCAAAAAAGCCTTGGTGATAAATGTGATATATTCCAGTATCCTTAGTTGTCAAAAATCCAGAGATAGAGAAGCTAATGCCTTGCTTTCATTAAATAATAATTAGGGATGCAGGGGAGCTGGCCATCTTGATAAGGCTAGGCCATAGTTGTTGGCATGTCGATAATAAAACCTGGCAAAATGTTAAGTTATTGTTATGCACAAACAGACAGGAGTCCCCAGTTCTGATATGTGGAAGGACATGACTCCTGTGGCCTTCAGTCAAGACATCGTTGTGAACAGCACCTGCTGACCAAACAATGCTAGGTGATTGTAACTGGCTCAAACTGAGAAGTAATCATTCAAGTCATCCCAACAATGGTATACTCAAACCAAAGAAAAGTGGAAAAGACTTTGCTTGATAAAAGACATACTTGAATCCTCACTTTTTGTGTTCCAAGGATGGGTTCTTTCTATCCTCAAGTTCAACCTGATCTTGTAACAAGGAATATGTTAAGCATGTCCTTCAAAAGCCATGTTGCCCAATTTTTGAGGCAATCATTGACTTAACTTCCTGAGCATGGACACATCACCTTTGTAAGGAAGGCCACCTAAGTAAACAAAGCTAACGGCAAGTGTGATCCTCCTTTCAGATTTCAAATTTTCTTTAATAAAGTTAAGAACCTCATGGTAACGTTACTTGGGCACAATTTCCCTGAACACTTAAAAACAAATAGTGGTAGATGTTTAGTAGTTATTGGGAGTGGTGGATTATTTAACAGACTAGAACTGAGTCACTACCTGAATCACTTTGATATTGTAGTAAGGTTAAACTGAAAACTCGTTCAGAACTATCTGATGCATTGTGGAAATAAAACTACTATAAGGTTTCTTTATCCTATACTTTTGTTGTTATTGTTGTTCTATTTCAAATTGTGAATGAAAAAAGTGAGGATCTAGCTCCTAAAAGAACTCTTTAACTAAATATCAAGTTTCTAAGTAAAAGAAGTAAAGAATACTGAAGGCAGAACTAGAGAACAGTCTTTGAGTTCATTCAGAAAGCCATTATTCTCTGCAAACTAACACAGGAACAGAAAACCAAATACCTCATGTTCCTACTCTTAAGTGGGAGTTGAACAGTGAGAACACATGAACACAGGGAGGGGAACATCACACACTGGGGCCTGTCGGGGTTCAGGGGAAAGGGGAGGGATAGCATTCAAGGCATACCTAATGCGTGCGGGGCTTAAAACTGAGATGATGGGTTGATGGGTGCAGCATGCCACCATGACACATGTATACCTATGTAACAGACCTGCACATTCCGCACATGTATCCCATAACTTAAAGTAAAATAAAATAAAATAAAATAAAAATAAATAAATAAAACTGGAAAAAAAAAAAGTCAACCCTGAGACAAGGATTTGAGAGCAATTAATTTATTTGGAAGGTAAAGGAAATTGCAGTAGGGAAGTAGGGTGTAAAACGAACAGGGAAGGTAGACAATAAGCAGTTCATTATCGCAGCTTCCACTCTGAGCAGTTGAACCTTAGTTCCACGGACAAACTTTGAGAACGATATACAACACACGTTTCAGAGTTACCCTACCCAAGGTGAGAAGAACTGGGCTGTTTTATATACCAACACCCTTAAGTCGTCGGTTAAAGGCTGTTCCCAGAGGTTGTTATTAATAATTCCCTGATACTTTCAGTAGAGCAGTCTAATTTGGCTCTGGAGAAATCCCAGGTAAAGAGATGCTTATACTAGCAGCTGGAAGTCAGCTAGTGGTGAGTCTATGAACAGGTACCAGTAGTATCTGTTACCAATAGCTTACTCAGGGGCATTAAATGCCACCCCTTAAAAAGTTTTAAGTCAAAGAAAAAAAAAGTTTTAAGTCATGGAAGATAGAATATACATACTTTTCCATATGCCTTCTACTTAGTATGATGAAAAACATTGAACACTATATCAAAAACAGACATAGGAAGACTGAAAGATGGAGAGAAGGAAGACAGACTGAGAACCACAGAACCTGAAGAGTGACATGGTGGTGAATTCCCTGGCTTTTCTTTTCTCTTGTATATGCCAGACTTGGAACTGATGATGGCAGCAACCTGGAAATACACACATACACACACACACACACACACACACAAAATCACCCACATAAGTCTGTTATCTCTATCCAAAGGAGTAGGAAAGGGACAGTCTAACAAGACAGAAAATTTTAGACAGTAACTCTTCTACTCCAGGTGAACAGCAAAGGAAAGAAAAAACTGTAAAACGGTGGCTCTATGCTAGCAAAGTCTGAGTGGGAAGCCTAGACTTGCATCTGTGTGAAGCTATAACAAAGCACCAACCACTACTTGGGTAGTGTCAAAAAGACCAGTTAGGGACTAAGACTTTGATCCGTATAGGCCAGTAATGAGGGCTCCCCTAACCCCACCCCTGTGGTGTCAGGACAAATTACATGGGGAGCCAGAAATTTCATCCACCCCTAGACAGTAACAAGGAGCCATCCCTTTCACAACTCAGGTATCTACAGAGGTTTGGCAGTAATGAAGCAGTGGCCCCACTCCCTTCCCCTCCAGAGTAGTGTCAGAAAAGCAAGCTAAAACCAAAGATTTAAATAAGATCCATAACATAATGTAAAAACCTCCAGGTTTCAATATAAATCACTCATTATACCAAGAACCAGGAATATCTCAAACTGAATGAAAAAAAAAAAAAGAATGTCAAGAGATTACAGAGATTTTAGAATTAGCTCACAAATATTTCAAAGCGGCCATGGTGAAAAAGCTTCAATGAGCAATTACCAACAACCTTTAAACAAATGAAAAAATAATGTATCAGCTAAGAAATAAAAGACATAAAGAAAAGTCAAACATGTAGAACTGAAAAATGCAATAATGTAAATAAAAAGCTCAGTGAACACTAGGGCTCAACAGTAGAATGGATGAGATAGAGGAAAGAATTAATGACCTAGAAAAGAACACAATAGAAATTATGTAATCTGCATAAACAAAGAGAAAGAGACTAAAAGAAATTGAACACAGCTTCAGAGACCCATGAGAATATAACAAAAGATCTTACGTTCATGTCATTGGAGCCTCAGAAAGAGAGGAAAAAGACAATGGCATTGAAAAAGTGCTCAAAGAACAAATGGCTGAAAATTCTGCACATTGGAAGAGACATAAACCTACATATTTAAGAAGCTGAGAGAAACTCAACAAGGTTAAACCCAAAGAAAATCCATGCCCAGGCCTATCATAATTAAACTTCTGAAATCTAAAGAGAAAGGAAAATCTTGAAAGCAACAAGAGAGAAATGATACCTCATCTATAGGAGGGAAACTATTGGAGTGACAGTGGATTTCTCATCAGAAACAATGGCGACCCAAAGAAGTGGTGTAATATTTTTCAATGCTAAAAGAAAAGACCTGTCAACAACCCAGAATCATAAACCAAATAAAGTGGTTGAGAAGGGAACACTTTCTAATTCATTTTATGAAGCTAGTATTACCCTTGCACTAATTTCAGACAAAGACAATGCAAAAGAGAAAACTAAAGAACAATATCCTTCATGAATATAGATGTAAAAAAGTTAACAAAATGTTAGCAAGTAGAATTCAGCAATATAAGAAAAAAAGAATTAGACACAATCACCAAGTGCGATTTATTTCAGGGATGCAAGACTGGCTCAATATTTGAAAATCAGCGTAATCTACCACTGTAACAGGCTAAACAAGAGAAACCACATGATTATATTAATATTAATAGATAAGACACTTGACAAAATTTGATATCTATTCATCATAAAAAACACTCAGAAATTGAAATTTCCTTGACTTGATAAAGAACATCTACAAAAAAATTAAACCTAATATTATACTTAATGCTGAAACACTGAATATGTTTCCCCTAAGATCAAAAACAAGACAAGGATGTCCATTCTCACGAATTCTTGTTCAACATAGTACTAACAGTTTCAGCCAGTGCAATAAGACAAGGAAAGGAAATAAAAAGCATACATATGGGAAAGAAAGAAACAAAACTATCCCTAACATCATTGTATATGTGGGGGACCCCATATACAATGAGAGAACTGATCTTTGACAAAGTGGACAGAAACATACAATGGGGAAATGACACCATATTTAATAAATTGTGCTGGCAAAATTGGATAGCCACACACAGAAGAACGAAACTGGACCCCTATCTCTCACCACATAAAAAACTCACTCAAGATTGATCAAAGACTTAAATGTAAGTCCTGAAACTACAAAAATCCTAGAAGAAAACCTAGGAGAAACTCTTTTGGAGTTTTGGTCCAGGCAAAGAATTTATGACTAAGACCTCAAAAGCAAATGCAACAAAACAAAAAATAGCCAAATGGGATTTAATTAAACAAAAAAGCTTCTGCACATCAAAAGAAATAATCAATGGAGTAAACAGACAACCTACAGGGTGGAGAAAATAGATGTAAACTATACATCTGACAAAGGACTAATATCCAGAATCTATTGGGAATTTAAACAACGGAACAAGAAAAAAAAAAAAAAACCATTAAAAAGTAGGAGTAGGATAAGAACAGACACTTTTCAAAAGAAGACACAAAAGTGGCCAATAAACATATAAAAAATCCTCAACATCACTAATTATCAGAGAAATGCAAATTAAAACCACAATGAGGTACTATCTCACACCAATCAGAATGAGTATTATTAAGAAATCAGAAAATACAGCTATCAGCGAGGATGTGGAGAAAAGAGAATGCTTATACACAATTGTGGTTGGAAATATAAATTAGCACAAACTCTATGGGAAACAGTATGGAGGTTTCTCAAGAGCTAAAACTAGAGCTATCATTCGACCCAGCAATCCCTCTACTGGTTATGTACCCAAAGGAAGAGAAATTATTGTGTAAAAAAGATACCTGCATTTGTATGTTTATTGCAGCACTATTCACAATAGCAAAGTCAAGGAATCAACCAACAGATGACTGGATAATGAAAATATGGTATGTTTACACCATGGAATACTATACAGCCGTAAAAAAGAATGAAATCATTTCTTGTACAGCAACATAAATGGAGTTGGAGACCATTATCCTAAGCAAAATAACTTAGAAAATCAAACACTCATATTCTCACTTACAAGTGCGAGCTAAACAATGAGTATGTTGGGGACTCCAAAAGCTGGGGAGAGTGGGAGGAGAATGAGTTGAAAATCTATTGGGTACAACGTTCACCATTTGGATGATAGGTACACTAGAAGCCCAAACCTCAGTATTACGCAATATGTCTATGTAAAAAACCTGCACGTGTACCCCCAGAATCTATAAAAATAAAGAATAGAAAAAAAAAATGTTAAGGGGCCTCTCAGGTATTTCTTTCTTTAGTTGTATAATTCTAATTAGCTGTGGATCAAACTGAGAAACATTGGAGAGATCAATGAAATGGCCTGAAATAGACTATAAGGAGAAAAATATAATAAATCAATATCCCAAGAAGATACCCATCATAGTTTAATAACAAAGATATCCCTTTGTTTTTTGCACACTTGTTTGTTTCATCACTGACTGTGTATAATGCAAAAGAGAAAGTAACTTGTGCTATCACCCAAGTGAATAATTTTACTTTTATTTTGAGAGAAAACTTAAAAATCCATTTGTGAGGGCCCTAGATTATATGACTTGGTGTATTGACATATCTGCAGCTAAGAAGATCATTCATGTAGGTTTTTAGAACTTTGCTTGCAGTTTAGGATTTTAACTACTGAACAGTCAAACGTGTAGAGTGCTTCATGATCTGGGTGGGGCTGTGTTTGTAACAGGCTAGGGAAAATCTGCTCAGAAGGAAGCTTTCATTGAATCGCGTTCCTTGTGGGTGAGTGGTAAGAGCTTTGTACATTAATGCTCTGACTTCTTTCTGAGTTTTATATTCATGTGGAATGTGATTAGAGTTTGTTAAGTACATTGATAATACCGTAATACATGAAAATACAAGAAAATCTCTGAATCCCCCAAAGACTCTTCTCAGCAAGAGTTTCTACTACTGATCAGAAGGTTTCATTAAAGTTGGATATGAGCTTCCTAGTCAGAGGAGTTGAATCTCACGACAAAGAGTAAAAGGTCATACAGATTTAGAAATTTGAGCCAATGTCTCCAGGTTTAAATGTCTAGTGTCTCCAAGTCCACCCCAGTGGAGAGAGTTCTGGGAATCTCAGAAAGTGTCTTTGGGTGATCTTGAGAACATGGCTTATAAACAAAGACTTCTGAATCGTCTTCTTCCCTAGGCACCCTCGTGCCATGATGGATGGTTAAGCTCTTCAAGGCCCTTAAAGGCTGCTTTACTGGGTCAGCCCTGGCAGTGGAACGTCAGAGAACAGACCAAGTGACACATGGACACAAAGAGCACAAAGATCTGTGTCTGAAACCTAGTTTTACCACTAACCAGCTATATGACTGTTGACAAATCTCAAAGTCTAAACTTTTTCATATGGAAAAGGAAAATAAGCTAGATCATGATAAAAAGAAAACAAGAATTTTTTTTTTTAATTCTATCATTTATGAAGCCCTTATTATCTGCCAGGTACCCTGTTAAGTGGTTTTCAAACTATTCTATTCAGATCTCATTGTAGCACTAGGATGACTACCCCATCTTCTAGGAGAGGAAAAATGAGGCAAGTTTTAATAATTTACAGGTCATTTAAGTGGCAAGGCTAGAGTTTAAATACAGATCATCTGTCTTAAAAGTGCTGCTCTTAACCACTGAATTAGGAGGTCTCCCTAACGTGTCCCCTATTGGAGGACTCCTGTGGCAATAGTAGAAAGACATCGATCCCTCAAGGCTTGTAGGCTTTGACAAAGTCTCCCAGAGGCTTCTCCTTTCATGCTGTCTTAAATTATTACAAAAAGAGAGAAGGAAGGTTTTACTTTTTTGTGCTGTGCGCTGTGGTTACTGCAGCAGGAGAAAGCAAATAGCTGGGGGCAGGATTTGCCTTCTTGACTCCTGATTCATAAAAAGAAAGCCAGACAGAGCTCTTAGCCGTCTGCCAAGAAGAAGTTTCTGAATTAGCTGCATGGCTCCCATGGATGCATATCTGAGGTAAAGAATGCCTACAATGTTCCCTGTACTTTTCATTTGAAAATTAGCTATGCCCCTCCAACTTCAAAGCCTCACTTTGAAAACAGTTGCCTCCTGTACAAATGTGGCTCTCTGTGGGTTATTATGCTCTTAGGGCAACTATGGTTTTTCTTCCTGTTTTAATGCCTGCCTGCTGGCTCTTCTTGTGCTTGGTTCCTCCCTGCCAGCTTTGGCATCCAGCATGATGGGAAAGAAAATGACTGTGAACCCGTGGGCAGACACCCGTACATCATGTCCCGCCAGCTCCAGTACGATCCCACCCCACTGACATGGTCCAAGTGCAGCGAGGAGTACATCACCCGCTTCTTGGAGTAAGTGACAGTGTCTTGTGATGCCCTCACCTGGGTCTTTTTAAATCAGAAGCTATGTTGAGTTTTACACAGAGAAGCTGACGCCTGGAAAAGGCTGGGTTCCATCCCGCAGGCCACCGTGTCAGGGTAGCATCAGAAGGGGCGGATTTCACTTCCGCATTCTGATCCTGAGGTCTAGATGGGCTCTGCCCTCTGGCCACAGGCAGGTGAGCATCCTTTCCCATCCCAGATTGCTGTTGCCCCAGAATAACTTTTTATGAGCCAGTTATGAATTAAGTCCTTGGGAACTGACAGGAACACCCAACAGAGATCAGAGTGGTCACTCAAACCTCATTGAGAGTAGGATAATGATTTTCTAATTTTACCATGGCTTGTATTTTCTAGATAAACTAAGCTTATGTTGTGGGATATGATTTGCATTTTCTTTAGTAACTCCCTCCTTGGGCCTAGAGGGTTCTCTGCCTTGTAAAAAATAAAGTTAAGACAAAGAGTAAACCAGAGGGAAGTTTCTGGTTGAATGAAAGGCTGAAAGTGAAGGGAATCCTAAACAACTCCTCTCATTTCTGTCAACTTGTTTTCAGCCGAGGCTGGGGGTTCTGTCTTGATGACATACCTAAAAAGAAGGGCTTGAAGTCCAAGGTCATTGCCCCCGGAGTGATCTATGATGTTCACCACCAGTGCCAGCTACAGTATGGACCCAATGCTACCTTCTGTCAGGAAGTAGAAGTAAGTGTTGGCTATCTTAGTACCTCTTGGGTATATGCAGGGCTTCAGATCTCCAGCATGCTGAAGGAAGGGCCAGGGCAATATTTGGAAATTTGAGCATCCAGATACAGAAATAGAAGCTTTATATTTAAGTCAAGGGGTGTCTGTAAGGCAAAACAATTAAGCTGGAGTCATATTCCTTGACATTGCCACCTTGGTATTCTACAAAGCCTACATTCTGTTGCAAATGGGTGGTGGTTGAGGCTGTTCCACAGTGATTTTCAGGATTCACAGTGATTCACACCTGCAGACTCCATAGCAACTAACTTAATCCCTAAAATTGCTCCCTTTCTTGAATTTCACATCTGGCTAAAGTGTACCAGCAGCTCCCAAGGTAGAAATAGGATTTATTCACCAATTCATTGTTCTCATTTATTTTCAATGTCCAAATAATAATCAGGATTTGACACCGTACCCTCGAAGAATCTATAGCTCTGTTCTGTCTTCTTCACTACCACTGTCACTGCCTCAATTCAGTCTCCCATCATCTTTCCTTGCTATCGTAATTATCTCCTACCTAGTCTCCCTCCTATTCAAATTGTTGCTCAAGTTATTTTTTAAAAACACAATCTAACCATGGTCTACTCTGCTGTTAGGGTCCCCGCTGACCACAGGATAAAGTCCCAGCTCCTTTTGAGGCAGTCCTTCGTGATTTGGAAACTGTTCTCTGAAATCATCCCTTATAATGCAAAAGTATCTGTGTTAACACATACATATTGACAAGGCAAGTTTTGCTGAATCCCTGCCAGATTCTGTGTTATGTACTGAATAAGAAGAAAATATAAGCACTCAAAAATTAAAAGACAAAGTCTCTGCCCTCAAGGAGCTCATGGTAGAAGAGGCAGGCATAAAAACTTTACTACAGTGAGATAAATTCAAACCAAAACACAGAAAAAACTTAAAGGGGAAAGTAAATAACTGTGCTTAGACAGAACAAGCAAAGTTAACAGAGAAGGTAAAGTTGATACAAAAATCCTCACCCCTCACTTCTAACTGGCTACCAAGTTATGCCAATTCTGCCTCCTAATCTTTTTTTTTTTTTTTTTTTTTGAGACAGAGTCTTTCTCTGTTGCCCAGGCTGGAGTGCACTGGCATGATCTTGGTTCACTGCAACCTCCGCCTGCCCAGTTCAAGCAATTCTCATGCCTCAGCCTCCCAAGTAGCTGGGATTACAGGGACGAGCCAACAGGCCCGGCTAATTTTTGTATTTTCAGTAGAGACGGGGTTTCTCCATGTTGGTCAGGCTGGTCTCAAACTCCTGACCTCAGGTGATCCACCCGCCGTGGACTCCCAAAGTGCTGGGATTACAGGAATGAACCACTGTGCCCAGCCTAAATATTTCTAAAATCCACCTGTTCCTAGATGACTATAGCAGTTTCCTGATTGGTAGAGTCTGAACACTTCCCCTTAACTCTGATTCATTTTCCAAAATGCAGCCTAAGTAACCTTTCTAAGTGGAAATCCATTTATCAATGGATTTATAAATACTCCCCTGTGAGTAGAATATCTCATGGCCTTCCTATTTTCTTGCAATAAAGTACAAATTTCCTAAAATGGCTTAAGAAGAGGCTTCAGAATTTGCTCTCCTCTTGCTCTCTGGCCTTATGTTTTAAAATGTTGTTTTAGCCCTTCACTCTCTAATCTGCTACTGATTATATGTATACTGAATTTTATCACTAATCTTCCCTATCCGGGAAGCCTCTCCTTCATATTTTCATCTCTTTGTATCTCTGTAATTTTATATAATTTATCTTTATCCTCTAGTTCACTAGTTCTCTCTTCAGATTTGTCCAATTATACATTATATTTAACCTATTGACTTTTTAATCTCATTTATCATATTTTTATTTATAAAAGTCTATTTGATGATTTTTCTGAATTTTCTCTCACTTTCATGGTATTTTGTTCCTAATTTTAAACTTTCAATGTAATCTTTTATTTCTTTAGTAACATGTGACATATTTATTTTGCAATTTATACCGAGTAATTTCAGTGTTCAGAGTCTATGTGCATCTGTTTCTCCTATTTGGGGTTTCTTCACATATTATGTGTTATTTCCTTTTGTGATTTTTTGCTTTTATTGTGAGCTTTTAGTTATAAAACTTTATGTCAGGTTTTCCCTTAGGGCTTAGATGGCTAGCACATTCTTTCAGAGAAAATTTTCACTTCTATCTCTGGGTCAGTTTAAAAGGTTATTGATTTGATGTTGTGTTGACTTCGTGAGCAGCGTGGTGGCGAGTGTGGATACCGACTCTCAGGACTAATATCTGGCCACTCCTTCTAGAGTTAAAGTTGAAAGAGATAAGTTTTCTGTGTACCTAGATTTCAGGTCACCCTTTTATTCAAAGTCTTATATGAAGGTCTGCAACTTCCTACCTTACATAGGCCCTAGGCATTGTCCCCAGTATCTAAGTGACTAACAAATCGAAGATCTAAGTAATTAGGTTTGCATCTCCAGATTAACATTTCTGCTACATTTTTAGCCTTTGGGGAGTTTCCTTACTTTCTTGGTGACTCAAGGATGCACTTAAAAAAACATTTAAAATATATTATGCACAATTTTAGAAGATTTATAGAAGTAAGGGTTTTCCAGGGTATCCGGTTGTTTACTAGAAACGGGACACCCTACTTATCTCTGGTCAGGCTCCTCTTTTGCACTCCGTGTTTATCTGTCGTGAACAGCCTCCATTCTCTGAAAGTGCTGGGTTCTCCACAACCTCTAGAACCCTGCACACTCTGATTCCTCGGAATCATCGCTTCTGCTCATCATTTGAGTCTCAGCTTAAATATTCTTTTATATCCTATCCTGAATTTCCTATGTCAAAGCTTTATTAGACTATATTTTAGGTTCTTGTTTACCGGACTGTCTCCTTTCCTACCATGTCAGCTCTCTGAGGAAATTTTTATCCTTGACACTCAGCAATGCCTAGCACATAGTAGGCACTCAATAGATAAGTGAATGAAGACTTCAAATCCCTTTATATGGCAGCCAAGATAACCTCACCATTTTCCATATTAACAACACCCTAAAATACCAGAAAATGTAGCATCATCCATGTTATAACTTTTTATTTTGAAATAGTTTAAACTCCAAATAAATTGAAAAAAAATAGTACAAAGTTTCTGTGTACCATTCACCTAGCACATCATCCTTTCTAAATGCTCAGTGAACTTAAAAGTAAAAGAAATCCACAGAAAGTAGGAAAAAAAATAAAAGGGGGAGTGATAAGCATGAATAGATATTGAGGCTGAAGTGGAGATAACAAAAGGGTTATGTGGGTTTTCACATCCACGTTGGAAGAGACAATGATGTATTCTCCTTGAACAGGGCCAGGAATTAGAACCGAGACCTTTGCATGAACTGCTATTCTCATAGAGTTATGCTTCACTGAAAGGATGAACTAGAAGAAATCAACCAAAAGGAAAGAGAGATGAGAGAGAAGCATCTTTCATCTCGGCCTGGTTTCTAATGGGGAAGTGGGGGGCGGGGAGGTGTGGAAATATTGGTGAATAACTTTCTCACTTGGAAATTCTTTACTACAGGCCATGCTAATGCTAATCTAGAGTTTAAATTTGTATGCTGTATAGCTTGAGTACCTTCACTGCAATAATAATCATAATAATAATAAATAAAACATTTGGCCTGGAGATACCATGGATGCCTGGAAATGAAGGTGAAACTGGCCCAGAGGAACCAACACTCAACCAAGGTGGCACAGAACTCCAATAGATAAAGCCATCCTAGGCTGGGTGCAGTGGCTCATGCCTGTAATCTCAGCACTTTGGGAGGCCGAGGTGGGCGGATCATGAGGTCAGGAGATCAAGACCATCCTGGCTAACACTGTGAAACCCCATCTCTACTACAAATACAAAAAATTAGCCAGGCATGGTGGCGGGCATCTGTAGTCCCAGCTACTCAGGAGGCTGAGGCAGGAGAATGGTGTGAACCCAGGAGGCGGACCTTGTAGTGAGCCGAGATCGCCCCACTGCACTCCAGCCTGGGCAACAAAGTGAGACTCCATCTCAAAAAAAAAAAAAAAAAAAAAAAAAAAAAAAGCCACCCTTCAGATGAGTTCATAATTCAGCCTCTAATTCAAAATCTACTGTAGTCTATCTTCAGCTAAGTGAGAAGAGACAATAAGCCCTTAAGAACTTTCAAAATTTGAATTTTTATATAGGGATAATAAAATAAATATATAGGAACAAATTGTATATGAGAAAAAAATACCATAAGATATATGTAAGGCAGATATGATGAGGAATAAATAAAACTTCTGGAAGTGGAAAGTGTGGTTATTGACTTAAAAATTCAGAGGGTGGATTAAAGAGCAGACTTGACACAGTTGAAAAGAAAATCAATCAACTGGAATTTAGAACTGAGAAAATTACTTCCCATCCCATTTGGGTGCTTCTTAGGGGTGTGTGATGGAGGAGAAAGTTTGTTTAGTTTTCATATACAAGAAGATTGAGAGCTGAGGAATATGAAAGTGAGGTTGAAACACAAAGCACAGAATAAGAAGGTCCATCAACAACAATTACGGGTTCCAAAAGGAGAGAAAGGAGAGGCAAAGTTTAGAGAGAGAAAGATTGATAATTTTCTAAAATGGCTTAAAATATGAAGTCATATAATGAAAAAACACATGCAGTGTAGAACACAATAAGTGAATAGAACTATGGAAGATGAATAGACAGAAAAAAATACTCATAGATAGATGGAAGCAGCTAAGCCATTTCAGATGGCATCTGAGAATCCTGCCAACCTTTGTCCAGAAATAAGAAGGAATATGCAGCTCTCTTCCTGGAAACTGAAACCAGCTGACTACTTTAGGTAATAAGTGAACAAGCTGAGGCTTTCTAGATGGAAGAGTTTCTGTTTTCTTCACTGAGCAGGCTCAAGTTATAACCCCCAACTGTTAGTAATCAGGTTGCCTTCCAGCCACAGTTTAGATTTACCTTTTATAGACAATCACCAGTTACCCTTCCCAAGGGCAATGAGTGCTAGATATTGTGCCAAACATATAGAAATGACCCTCTCAACCCTTAGAAAATAGGTTTTATCCCTCATTTCCATATTACCTAGTATGATCTATAGACCATTGTTTATGAATGATGACAAAGTCCAAGTTAAGCTTGAACTGCAAACTCTAATGATTACTTTCTGTCACTCTTAGTCACTAGCAACAGTGGCATTTATTATGAGTGTGTGGATGAGTGTGCATATTTTACCATAGCGATAGAAATGCTTTGGGGCAAGTTTTGAAAATACAAAAAAAAGTGCAATTTGTTTTCTAGAACGTCTGCCAGACACTGTGGTGCTCCGTGAAGGGCTTTTGTCGTTCTAAGCTGGATGCTGCTGCAGATGGAACTCAATGTGGTGAGAAGAAGGTGATGTGTCAGGCCGTGGAATGAGGTGGGAGGGCGGTGGGCAGAGTTCTTGGGAGGAGCTGAGGAGAAGGCCCTAGAGGGCAGCTCTCTCTGAGGGAAGAGCAGTAGATGGAGGTCATACAGTCAGACCAGCCAGAGGAGAGCACCCTACATCCACCACTCCTGGTGAACCTGCATTGGGAGCAGGTAGTTAAGGAGGGAGGGCTGAGGTTCAGTTTCATGCTTCACTTGCAAAACATCTGTTTCATCTTTCCCTGATGAACTTCTATGGAGTTTATAGTCAACATTTCCTAAGCTTATTATCAGCCTTCCTTTTGACTTTTTTTCTCACATATTGAAGATTGAAAAGGGTAAGCCAGCAGCTTCTTCTTCCCAAAAATGCAGGATTTAGGCCACTTATCATCTTCTTTCTCATCATCTGACATGACTGCATTTCTTGAAGTTCTGCTGCTTTACTAAGCAGGCAAGTCAGACACCACAGAACTCAGAGAGGTTTGATATCCTCTCAACTGGGTTTCTTGTGGACCTAGAGCTTATGTGTTTAGTGGGCATCTTTATGCAGCTTGAGTGTGGCAGGACCCCTCACTGAGATTATTGAACCCAGACAAAATGCACAGTGGCCAAAAAATACAAGGGGACAAAAAGGATGTCAGGCAATAAAACACGTCCAAATCCTCCAGGAAATGTGGTTATTCATGACAACCACGTAGCATTTCTCTTTGTTTTCATTTTTGTATATTCACTCTCCTAAACCGATAGTTGTGGAAGGATTGCCTTGAAGAGGGAAGAGAGTGGATGTTTTCTTAGTTGCTTGAAAGGGCAGAGCTGCAAACAATGGGTAGAGTTAAAGGAAAGCAGAATTTTTTTCTTGATATGATGAAGAGCTTCCTAACAACTAGTGTGTTTTGGCAGTGAAATTGACTTTTTGCAGAGCATGAGTTCTCTGTTGCAGTCATTAAGTACCCAGAGAGCTATAAAGAAATGCTATTCACTTTGCCAGTCTGTGAACTATTGTAGTTTGCAACAAGATAAGGATCATGCACCAGAAAGTAAATCAACTATGTTACTAAGCAACTATGTTACTAAGCATATTAAGCTGACATGCTTTTCATAACAGGACTTTCTCAATGAAAGAAGTAGTATGTTGATTTACAATCTCTGGTGCAATCTGCCATCCACACTGTGTGGCACCTCTGTGATTAGGCAATGTAAAGTTTCCTTTCCATTCCTGAAACTCTGATTCTAAAACCCAAGACTCTTGGCAGAAACTTGTATGGGTCCCTCCTTGTTTGACATCTGATGTGTGACTGTAGAAAGCTGGCTTGCTTGCAGGAATTGGGTTTAGACTTCTAGGGCTCTTGGCTCAACTTGCTATGGTAACCTTGCTGACACGGCCATCTTCTGCCTCTTCCCTTTCCAGTGGTGTATGGCAGGCAAGTGCATCACCGTGGGGAAGAAACCAGAGAGCATCCCTGGAGGCTGGGGCCGCTGGTCACCCTGGTCCCACTGTTCCAGGACCTGTGGGGCTGGAGTCCAGAGTGCAGAGAGGCTCTGCAACAACCCTGAGTGAGTTCAGATAAATATATTCCCCTTCCCTCCACATGTGCTGGGGATTGGGGGTGGGGGCAGTCTTGAATGGCATGACCTCAGTGACCCCAAGCCTCCTCCGGGGAAATTAAATGGGTTCCCCAGGACAAAAAGGAACAAGAAGATCCACAGAGAGTGGGAAAATAAGTGGTTCTGTTTTGTGTTGTTTCATTTTGGCTTGGCACTGGATTCTTATTAAAACTTGGATAAGTAAGCTGATTTTATCATTTGGGGAAATAAAGCAAATTTATTTTAAATGTGCAATCGATGTGAAAGCCTCTAGGAGATTATGCAATTAAATCTTTTGAAATAACTCCATTTTATCAGTAGAGATTAGTGAAACCCAATTTTGCTGATAAGATTATAGCTTGTTTTCAATGATAATGAATATACAATGTTATGAGAATATTTATTTCCTTAAGCAACTAGTAAAATAGATACATTTTTGAGGACAATTATTTTTAATATTTTTAGATAAGGATTTTTATAAGCCCTAAAGTTCCATAGTAGCCTGTTAAGGATTCTGTAAATGTCATTTTACAAGTGACTTTCAATTGTTTAAGCAAATTGCTTAATTTTTCATATATTCTATTTGTATCATAATATTATATATGAGGTAAATTTAAACTTCCTTGTTTTCCAAATACACATTACATTCTTAATGTCATTATTTTCTGATATACTGTCTCCCAAGTAATTTCTTGAAAGTGTATATGTGATACCTCCTTTAAGTGGAAATTACATTGTTTCTTTTACCTAGATTTACATTTATCTACTTTGAAGAGTAGGAGTCACATTTTTTAAAAGGCAAGCAATAAAAGTGATTTTATCCCTCAGTATCTCAGTTCCAAAGATTATTTATCCTTTTCATTAATAACTGTATTACCTAGATGTATGGTATTTATATATAAGTACATGTATATATGTATATATATGCATGTATACATTACATATATACATATATACACTATATATGTTATATATTTTTTCTAAGGGTTAATAAGTTAGTATGTGTAAGGAATTTAACACAGTATCTACTACAAAATAAGTTGTCAATAAACAGTAGTTATTATGATATCTTTATCATTTACCACATTTATAAACATGCATTTGGAAATTCTTCACAAAATTATTTCAAAATTTCACCCTTTGATGAAAGTTGTTTTCATTTAAATATCGGATTTCTGTGACTTCCAAAATTTAAAACCAAGAGTTTCTCATAGAGTACTTTATTTTTAGAGAAAATGGTCATTTAACAGTTTGTTTCCATGTGATCCAGAAATGTGATTTCCATTTTCATTTGAGAGATCAGAAAAGAAAGGCAATTTGCTCTGAGACTTATTGTCAATGCTGTATATTCAGACACCACCAGTGTTTAACCTTCTTGAGAGGCTGGTCAGTGACCTGTGGCTACCAGAGAAGGGAACTCTTAGTTGAGGAAGTGAAGGATGAATCTCTAACCTGGCTTCTGGAGAAAGTAGTTCTAATTCTCACCTCCAAGGCCACAGTTTGTCATAGAGTCTCTTTGGGTGAGTGGACATGCCTGTTCTTCATTGCCGGTTTGCTTAAATTCATTGCTAACACTGCCAGTGGCACCACATCATAGATTCGGATCTGTGATTCAAGTCACAGATTCAGGCCACTGCATGAGCCAGCTGATCTTGGGACTGCATCTTTGCCGTAGGTCAACTGTCTAGTGAGAACCCAGCAGAGCTTGGCTCATAAGAGGCTGTCAGTGATATTGATTGGATGGAAATGAATTGGAGAGATACCAGGTCATAGAGTGTGACTCCATCATCACAAACAGAAAACCAGCCTAACCTTAAATAGCAAGGACAATTCTTGGTACCTCCTACAGGGAGTCAACAAATGAGGAGCCTACTATGTGAGCTGCCTTGGTCAAAGCTCTTTCGTGAGTGAGGAACACAAGCTTACTCAGGCCACATTGAGGGAGGGGAGGTATAGAAAATCTCATGGGCATTCAAGGAGAACAAAGTACTACAGAACCAACAAGAATTACAGCTGCAACCAGTACTTGACTAGACTGCCAGGATTTGAGTTCTCTGTCTCTCAGGATTTCGTGGTCAGGCAGTGTAACACAGTGGATAAGAGCTCAGGCTTTGGATCAAGGAAGATGATGATTCAAATCTTGGCTCTGCCACTACCACATGTATCCTTCATGGAGTTGTTCTGGCTTTCTGTGTCTCTGGGATATGATTTCATCTGGACTGCTCACTCGACATGCCTTCTGCCTTTGCACTGAGAAGCACTTTCCAGCCATCCTTTAAGACCATTCTCCAGGACAAGCCCTTCCATAAATCCTTCCCAACTAGCCTCATTTCCATGGCTTTCCCCCTTCGCAAAACTTTCATTGTACTTTCAGTCTGGGATACATAACTCCTGTCTTAAATTTTCTCTCATTTCTTATATAGGTTATTTTTTTCTCCTCAACTAAATTGTAAACTTCTAGGAAGCATAGAACATGGGTTGACCTTCGTTTGCACTCTCTTCTCCCTGAACGCAGTATTGAGCATGTGGTAGTATATAAATACTGATTGATTATTATTCACAATAACCAAAAAAGTGCTATCAGTTATTGAGCTCTCATTCTGTGTTAGCTACTCTACTAAATCTGTGTGTGCATTGTCTCATGCAGTACTCACGACTTGTGAGATAAAAACTATTATGCTCATTTTACAAATGAAAAAAAAATAACTGAGGCTCAGAGAAATAAGGTAACTTGTTCAGATCCACCTAACAAAAAGATAATGCCAAATTAAAACTCCAGACTATTAGCACTCCTACAACAGGAGGCACACTCCCCGATTCAGATACTGCCCCAAGAGGGAGGCCAGAAGCCTGGAACCTTCTCAAAGGATAGTTTCCTCACCTCTCTGAGAGCTGTAAACCCCTCTCCCATTATGAGTGATCCATTGATCCTGACAGTAAGGCTGTTATGCCCTCAAGTGTAACACAAAGGAAAGAAAAAGTCAAAGAGTGATTTTTCTAAAATAAGATTAACTTATTCACCCATTGAATATCTATTAAGAGCATTCTACGCCCTAAGTACTATTAGGCACCACAGAGGACACAGAGCTTCGATTGTGCCATCAAAGAACTATCTTTGGGAATGATAGGTTCAGGACGTGCAGGCAACTGGCACACATAGTGTCGCTGAAGAGGAGGAAAAAAATTACTTCTGGTGGAAATCCAGGAAGGATTCATGAGGGAGGTAGCATTTATTTGGTTCTTCAAGCATGAGCAGTATGTATATATGTGGAGACTTTAAGGGAGGAAAAAATCTATCCAAAGGCCCAGAAAAGAAATAGCAAATAAGGCAGGTGGCACCACTGGAGCAGTGTAACATGAAGCAGAGTGTGGGAAGTAAATTGTTAAGGTGAGTTAAGGCAGGATTGTGAGGGCTTTGAATGCCAAGCTCAGGAGGCTGATGTGACCATTAGATGCCATTAGAGATTTTAAAACAGAAGCTAAAATAATTAAGGTCATCTGAAAATTTAACCTGATAATTTCTTGTACTGTGGGTTTAATTTTAAAAGTAGAGATAGAAATGGAGATAAGAATTTTAAAAGTAGAGATAGGAATGAAGATAAAAATTGGACTGGTTTGATTATTGTAAAGTTGAATTGTATGAAACAAATGTAAGTAGACAGCTGATGACCAGGCAACTTATTGACTGTGGGATCCAAGGAAGGCACAGATGGATGATTCTGAAATCTGACCACTTTTAATTCATCAAATATGAATCAGAGAAGGAGCATACTTGGAAGGAAAATGTATCCTTTTTGGCACAGATTTCAGCTGGAGGATATATAGGTGGAAGTAATATATAAACTATTTCAAAAGAAGCTACTATACATTAGGGCTGAAATGTTGGCAGGCAAGGAAAAAATGTGTAAAATTTGAAGCATTTATTTAAAAGGTAAGTTTTGAGAGCATAGAGAGACATCGTTTGTCAAGGCCAGGTACCACAGGAATTTTAAAGGAAAATGTTGGCATTTAAGCAAACTAAAAGAATAGCTTGTCTGTTTCATTTGTAGGCCGAAGTTTGGAGGAAAATATTGCACTGGAGAAAGAAAACGCTATCGCTTGTGCAACGTCCACCCCTGTCGCTCAGAGGCACCAACATTTCGGCAGATGCAGTGCAGTGAATTTGACACTGTTCCCTACAAGAATGAACTCTACCACTGGTTTCCCATTTTTAACCCAGGTAAGGAGCTGTAATGGTGTATCTCAGATCTAGGGAACAGCCATTCTCAAAGCATTTGTCTGTCAGTCAAGGTTTCTGTGATCCATACCAAGTTTAACAAAGAAAATTGTACCCCAGGAATTTTGTAATTTAGAAGATGGAAACACTGACCTGGTTAAGTTGATCGGTAAATGTTGAAGGCTGAATACATTCAACTCTGTCTGGGCTTTGTGGGAGATAAAATAAGTTTATAAAACATGGTGACTCACTTCAAAACAGCTGAGGTGCAAGTGAGCCATTAATAGGGCATGTAGGAATTCAGTAACTAATTGCTTGTTGATGGACACGAGGAACTGACTGTGATTTTGTCAGAAATTCAGAAGAGAAGGTCATTATGGGTTTGAAGTAATTGCAACAAAAAGGCTTCCAGTGAAGCAGTTGATGATTCTGAAGACTACTCATGCTTTCATGAGCAGTCTTTCCACCAGAAGAAAGAAAAGGGAAGGCATTCAAAATAGAGTCATTCTGAGTGGGAGTGGAATAACAGGCAGAAAGGCAAGAAAATAGGAATGAAAGAACAAAAGCCAGCTCTGGGCCAGAAATCAACATTTTTATACGTACAGGAGTATGAGAAGGGTAAAAAGTAAAATCAAACATCTGAATGTTGCGCAAGAGGGATGGGGACATGATGGAGTTGGAGAATGGAACAGCGGCCTTGGCAAAACTTCCAGACACATTCTCTCCTTAAAATGAGGAAGAATCAATGACTGTTAGCCAGAGATCAACATCTAAAAACATATTCGTGTTGTTTGTTGTTATCTGAGTAAGAAATGAAACAGAAAAGATTTTCCTGTGTTAAAGAAATTTAAGGCAAGGTAGTAAAAAATAGCTAATCAAGTTGTTCATGATTTTTGAGTTCCAAAAAATCCAGGGTGATAGGACACAAGAAAAATCACAGATTTGAGAATTGTGTATTTGGACTGTTAGACTTATGCAATAGCATTTGAAAGAAAGATTCTGCAGTGCTTTGCTCAGCTCAGGTATCCGAAATACCCTGATGGCTCTCAGTTGTCAAGGGCAATGATTGCTCCTTGCCCCCAATTGTTCGGTGTCATTTATGCTCTAGAGGGAAAAACCACTCGGTTATTGGTGCAATTTAGTTTCTTGAGTCAGGCGTTTGAATACAGGAAAACTCATGCATATACCCAGGTGTACTCCAAAATTACCAAGTGATGAGAGGCACATCCAGTCCGTGCTATCTATGTGTATATCCTGCACATTCTCAATTTGTTAAAACTATTTGGGTCAGTGGTCCTGTAGACTCTGAATGAGCAGCCTGTCAGAGCTAAGATAGCATAGCTGCTCCAGTGGTATCACATGTACTTAGTATGGGATCCCCCTCCCAGATACACAGTTGAATTTGTGTGTACCTATCTCTGATGGCTCAAGTAGCTGGACTTGGAATAAAAAGATTTGATTCAGCTTTGCTTTTCATTTGTTTGCAAGCATTCATCATGTGCCTACTTTTTGACTAGCAAAGCAATAGGTACTAAAGAAGTGAGAGTTACACAAGTTGACATCAATCCCACTCACTTTGGAGTGATTGATTTGCTTCTCTAACTCAGATGAAGTTTGCCACCCTCTGACCTTACTTCCTACCCAGTCTATCAGCATTCATCCTCTATCCCAGTAGTTTCTTTACAGATTCCTATGCTATTATTTGGTCATTAGCAGACAATGACTTATCTGTTAACCTGAATAGCTACTACCTTGAACAGCACACTGATGACTTTCCCCATTATACTCTGTCTACAGAGCTGCTATTTTGCTTAGTTGACAGGCATCCCTGGCAGTAGTTCATTCATATCAACAAAGATGTATGGAGTATTTTTTCTGTGCCAAATATTGAGTGCCTTACAGCCTCCCAGGCATCCTTTTAGAAATCACCAGAGGATAAAATAAACATATAGCAGAGTTTTCTACTCCCTCAGTGAACAGTGATACTTCCCACAACACTTTATATATTTTTTCCTAATTTTATCTCCACAAGAAAACCCTTCAAGGAAAGCTATTTTTGACCCAATTTTTAGAGATGAGGTAATAGGTTTAGAGGACCTATGTAACTTGCCCAAACTCAGACTATGAGATAGAACCAAGAGTTAGCCCAGGCCTGACTCTGCAGCCTGGTCGTTAAGCACAAAAACACACAGGGACTGGGTTAAGTTCATTTCCTTAGGACCAATGCACTGAATTTTGAATTTTCCCTAAGGCAATGTTCATGTCTTTAAAACCTTCGATTATTTCATAAGCCAGGAGCTCTGGTGGAAAACCCAACAACCCTTTTTATTATGATTAAGGCTCAGTTTATTAAACCTATATATCTTGCCCTTGAAAACCAGTGTTTTCTAAATATTTAAGCATTGGTGACTAATTATTATATTGCTTAAATAATTTAAGTTGTGATTCTAAGTTTACTTCTTAAGCATCTTAACCAAAAGACGGAACTTAAAACTACACAGTAAATAGAAAACTCTTTTTTCTATTTCTATTTCTAGGGTACTGCACTTACCCTAATCTAATACATCAATATAGCCAGGCATAGTGGTGCATGCCTGTAAACCTAACTAGTCAGGAGGGTGAGGCGGGAGGATCGCTTCAGCACAGAAGTTTGAGGCTGTAATGACCTATGATTGCACTACCTCACTCCAGCCTGGGTGACAAAGTAAGACCCTGCCTCTACAGAAAAATTTTAAAAATAAAAAATAAAATTAAAATAAAACATCAATGACAAGGGTTTAATTCATTTTAAAAAATTATTTCTGCTTTTGTTTTTATACCTTTCTATGGTTACTATAGAATATATTCACTTTAATGCCTTCTTATATTTCACTAATACATATTTCTGTGTATTGTGGGGATTACAATAAGATTACCATATTAGAAAGTACAAGAATGCCATTTTAGACTAGCCAAAGAGTTCAGACACTTGGTAATTACTTGACTTATTTTGGGCTGTGATACAGTCACAAGTTTTCATTTTTGTTTTTTCCCCCAAGCCGATTTGATTTTAGTCCTTAAGCTTCCTTTTTAAGTTAAACATAACTTCTTGCATCAATAAAACATTTTAGGTTATGCCTTTTGCTTTGAGGTTTAGTATTTCTTGGGCTCTGTTGAGGAGCGGCAGGGGTGCACAGCACTTCCCTTCATGTGCACACCGCCTTCCCATTTTGGCCTTCCCTTACCCAGCACAAGTTCAAAGGTAAAATGATTAAGAATTGCAAGACAGAGACAACAGCATTCAACCAAGTGTGAGGTCCTGGGTAAAAGCACAGGTCTTATGCCCATGAAGCCCTGCCTGTGAATGGATTTTAGAAACTGGATTCTTTAAAATGATGAAACTCATATTCCAGTCTATTCACAAAACATGAAATGCATCAAAACTTTTCCTTACCTAAGAAATATTTTCATTCTTTCTAGCAAGTTAGAGCTTTCATTTCTATCATTTATTAAGATCATTGTCCAAAAATGTTGAGTCACCCTGTTTCTGCAAAATTGAAAATGCGAACTTTGATTCGGTAAGCTCATCTCTTTTCCTAAGTTCCCTTTGAGAGGATTAATCAGACAATGTGAGGGTGAGAGTTCACTAGTAAATTAGTTTTAGAGCTTTCACTTAGCTGAATTATAAATGGACTTGAAAGCTCTCGAAAGCTAGAGGGCAAAAAATCACATGACCCTACAAAAGGCTGCATCAGGGCAGGGGAATAAATGTGAGACAAGGAAAGTACTCAACTCTTTAGAGATGATGAACTCAACAAGGTTGATGTCTGGCACAGAGAATCTCTGATACCAGTGATGACTCCCAAGAATTAAGACCATCCGTTAACACCCTTGCCGCCTCCTGTGGATCCCTGTGTCACAGGACAACTTAATGATATAACGAGAGCCCTTCCAGAGCACCATGAAAGACAAAGGCCAGAGAAGGAGGGGACAGAGAAGGAGGACCTCAGGCTCAGCCTTATAAAAGTCTTCAATAGCACTGAACTTTCCATTTAGGATGATTGCTTTCAAACACAGCATTCTCCCTGGCCTGAGGCACACCTATAGGTCATGGTGGTGGGAGCTCTGGGAGAGTCACAGCAGAGGATCTGTGTGCTGTCATTGTTGTTATTACAAATGTTATTTCCTAGATAATTTCTAAGACTCCATAAACCACTATACTTATAGTCAACACACGTGTGTGTTTCTCGTGGACAGTGTACTTCAGTTAACCTGTCTAGCCTTAAAGCATATACTAGTCCTGTGTTGTGGAAACAGGGTGGAGGGAAGTTTTGAAATTAGGGCCTCTCTTTATGGAGATGTGTCATAAATATCACTGGGGAAAGAAGACTTTTCCAGTTTTCCTGTGTGAGGGACAAGACTTATTATTTTTAAAAGGAATAGATGTGTCTTATAAAAATGCAAGCGCACATAATAGAATGAAACAAAAATGAATTATTATTATCCCACTGCATTGAATGTATTCCTCCAAGATAACCATGCTAACAGCAGGTTTTCATTTGCGCACAGATAGAACCACAATTTGCCAATTGTGCATCTTGATTCACTGAGTAGATCATGGCATCGTGGTTTACTGGTTTACTTCATTCCTTTTAGTGGCTGCATAGCAGTCCATTATGTAAATGCAACTTAGTGAATCTGTCCATTTCTCTCTGAATAAACATTCCATTGTGGCAATGAACATGCTGTGGTCCCAACTCTTCCCAGCAGCCTTGAAACAGATGATTCCTTAGAAAAGCTCCAGAGTTATTCAGGGCTGCTTTATATTTTTGCTTTATGTATTCCAAATACAAAATCCCAAATCCAATTCTAAAGTTTAAACCAAAGTCTTAATGAAGTAATCCTTGGATTCAGCACCTGGATTGATGTTCTCATCGTTAGGAGAATAGACTTGTTCCCAGGTTGCTCCCTTTAGTACTTCTATTCCAGTTTGCCCAGTAACAGAGCTAACCATGCTGCCAGAAATGGAGCTGCACAATAATCCCAAGTCATGCTTTGTCCCAGAGTCTCGACACTTTTCCACTGGCTCTTTATCCAATTATCTCTTCAACTCATTTTGACTTTATCTTGTCAGACAACTTATCCACTGCACCTTATGTGAAATCAATTGGTTTTCTTTATTTACATATTGGCTTTCATCTTTCTTTTTTTCAATTTTTTAAAATTCTTATACTTTAAGTTCTAGGGTACATGTGCACAACGTGCAGGTTTGTTACATATGTATACATGTGCCCTATCTTTCTCTTTTAAGCTTTGTTGTTTGTTTGTTTGTTTGTTTTTGGATTCAGGGAGCACATGTGCTTGTTTGTTACCTGGGTATTACATGCATAATGGTAGGGGTTGGGGTTCTAGTGTACCTAGCACCCAAATATTGAACACTGTACGCAATATGTAACTTTGAAACCCTCACCCTCCTTCCACCCTCCTTGCTTTTGGAGTCCCCAGAGTCTATCTCCATCTTTATGTCTATGTATGTCCGGTGTTTAGCTCTCACTTAAAAGTGAGAACATGTGATATCTAATTTTCTGCTTCTGAGCTAGTTCACTTATCTCTTTTAAGCTCTGAATAGATGTTTTTGGCCTCAGTCTCAAGTTTGTTCAGTGTTTCAGCATTTGGAGCTTTTGCTCACGGTTACATGTGTGTGAATTTTGCACTTTCATTTCCTGGCCACGTGGATCACTGCACCCTCAAGCAGACACAGCTCTCACTGTGCACCCGGTCTTGGCATTTGGTGCCCAGCCCAGTGAGGTGGGCCCATGACGAATAGCCTTACGGCTGGTACTATTGAGCCCTCCGCTGATCACACAGAGAAGCAACTAACAGCCCTGCCCATAATAAACACATCCAGAAGAGACCCCAAAATCCCTGCCAAAGAAGAGATTGTTGTGTCTTTCACTTAAAGAAAAGCATTCATTACATTCATAAGAAAATTATTTGAATTCTTCTTATCATATACGTGTATTCACTATTAAAATGTTTAAGGCAATCTCTGATTTAAATGTGATCTATCTTTCTGGTTATTCTGTGTACATACATGTGGGTATGTATTTTATTAAGTAAATATTCCTGTGCTGTAGATCACCCTCTCTTCATTCACAATGGAGTAGAAAACTGAACCTTGGAATGAAATCAGTGTAGGACCCAAGCTGATGGGATGGAGCACTATGAGAAGCAGGTCGGCTTCAGTTTGAACAACAACAAAAAAATGTTTCCACATGGTTGTCAATCTAAGCACCTCTTAGACTGGAGGAGGACATTTGTTGGGGCAGGTTTATGCTGGTGGTGATGGAGGTTGTGGTAGTAATGAGCTGGCCCTATGGGAGGGGATGCCTGTCCCCTGGAGGTCTACTTACTTTGCTGCAAGAAACAAGCAGGCATCCCGCTTGCCTGGAGTCCTTCATGGCTGGTTGCAATAACTTATTTTCTAAGCTAACCCCAGTTGCTCAGTGCCTTATTTTATCAGCACAATTCAATGTTGAATAGAAAGGAGTCATCGTTTACAGCAAAGAATAGAGTGTTTTAAAGCAATCTTTTATTTTAATTCATTATAAAACTTGTTTTCAAAAAGGAAAAATAATCCTTGGATTCAGCACCTGGATGTGTGAAATGTGTCTCGAGGCACATTTCAGGATGTGTCTCAAGCAGGTAAAAAGATAGGATCGTCAGAGTAAATGACACTTGGGGGTTATAAGTACAGAGGAATCCTGGGGAGGATGCTGAGCTAAAAGCTAACTTTGAAGGATTTGCCTTCTTTTTTCCCTTCAGCACATCCTTGTGAGCTCTACTGCCGACCCATAGATGGCCAGTTTTCTGAGAAAATGCTGGATGCTGTCATTGATGGTACCCCTTGCTTTGAAGGCGGCAACAGCAGAAATGTCTGTATTAATGGCATATGTAAGGTATTGGGTATGTTTCATTAATCTACAACTTTATAAAATCATGACTTTTACTAATTTGGGAAGTTAGATGTTCTAAGTTTGTGCTTTCACGGCATTTACACCTCATCTGTTTTTTATATATAGTTCATGAAATGAAAAGACAAGACTTCTCAGTGTTGATCAAAGTCACAGTTTTGGATTGAATGTTTTTTTCCTTCTGCCATCATCTTCATTTCTTGATTGGTTGATGTGCACTATGATATTATTTTAAACATTGAGCATGAAAAAGAAGAATTGTCAGGAAAGCCCAGCCCAGATTATTTCAGTGGCATTAAATTTGAGAAAAACTGAAATTAGTAATAGCTTCTATGGTACTTTCCATAATGCATTTTCACATTTAGCTCTCCATTGACTATCAACATGAGCTTCTCAGAGAGATGGCATGACAGTGGTTACAAAACAGGTTTCTGATTTCTATGTAATTTTTCCACACTCACTTCATTAATCAAGTTGATATAAATTATTTAGACCTGATGTGTTGGTGCTTTTAAGTGTGTAACCATTAAAGAATTCCTTCTTGTTGCTTGCATTTTATTTTGCAAGGAACTGAGGAGCAGGACTTGTGATCCAACCCCCAGGCATAAATCTCAGTTTAGAGAGAAAGTGTTTTTATTCGGTTAAAGGAAGATGTTTTGATCAGTTAGTAAATCATAATGGTTTAGCACTGGGGTTTTAGAATATGAGCTCAGTACCATCATTTACTAGTTGTATGGTCCTATACATCTTTCTAAGACTCAATTTTCTGTCATAGAACTGGAATTTTTTATGTATCTGCCTAGTTGGGGTTGTCAAAAGATTAAATAAGGTCTGTTAACCTAAATAACAGACAGAGAGAGGCTCTCTAAAACAAAATAAAGCTTATTTGGGAATAGTGCATTGCAATGGGAATATGTATGCCACAGTTAACTATGTGCATATTTAGGAAGGTAAAGGAAGAGAGGGGTTTTTAAAAGAAAATGAAAATTTTTAAAGGAAAAAAAGTTGAAGAGAATTGCAAAATTGTTTTTAAATAATTATAATTTCCTGCAGAGATCAATAACAAGGGTGACACCAATCCGAGGTTGCTCAGGAAGTTGCTGGGCAGATGTCATTGCAAAAGTATTTTTTGTGTAAGGTTGTAATAGCCCTTGCGCAAGGTTTTGGTTTTTGCAGAGCCTTTTTCATCATCAGGCATACAAGGGTGAGAACTAATTCTTCCTAGCCTTTCCTGGCCATATTTATCAGGGTTTTTTCTTAACATTAGTTGCTCCATTTTGATTCTGACAACTTTCACAGGTAATATATGTTGAGCTCTTAACAGAGGCCCTGGTGTAAGATAAACTCTTAGAAAATAGATCTGTAAACTCAACAAATTTTATTTGTTTTTTAAAAATATTTATAATATTTTTTTCCACTGGACAAAATTATTCCCTGTGACAAGCTCTTGCCCCTAAATATTCAGCACTCTGAGAAGGTTCGTATTTCTCTATACAGTTCCTTTTTCATTTATTTTGTTCAAGGCACCTGTTTTCCATCACAGGCTAAAGATGCTATTTCTATAAATGCAAAGTTATTTAGATCTAAAAGATAATTTCAGCATCACATTTACTCCTCAGTGACTAAAGTCCTTAGCCCTAGCTGCATATAATAATCACCTGGGGAGATTTTAAAACATCAGTGCCCAGACCCCACATCCCAGAGATCCTGAATTAACAGGTTTGAAATAGAGCCCAGACATCAGTAATTTCTAAAAGCTCTCCAGGCGATTCTAATAAGTAGCCAGGATTGAGAACCATTACAAGTTGGATGTCTTTCTTGAGGCCAATCAAATGAACCCCATAGAATAAGCTAGATTTTATCAGCCTGCCTCCCTCTTTCTGGGTGCCAGTTAAGACCTTTTAGAAGCTATACTTGCCCGCTTTCTGTCTATACCACACTGATTTGAGTTTTTAAGCTGAAAAAAATGGTGTCAAATCAAATATACTTAATAGCCTAAATACTTTATCTTCAAGGATCCAGGTTGTAGGTAGTTCCAGGCCCCTTATTTGCTGGTTTTATTGTTACCCTCCATATTCATTTACTAGTTTTTTCAAAGGGGATTGAGCATGTATTGACATAAAAAACATACGCTTTCAGGAAAACAATGCAGTGTTTGTCTAATCTACATTCTTTGTGAATATGAAAATTTGGTTGCTTATATTCATGTCTATTTTGAAATTACACTATTTGCCACTATTTTGGTATGTTAGAGTTGCAGATTATATTGTCAAGGAAATTATCAAGCCCTGATCAGAACTGAATTTGTTCTGGGAGGTAACTATCTGTGCCCTTCCCCTTAGTTTTTCTTTAGTAAGCTTGTTTATCAAAGATACAGATTTAAACTTTGACTTTTCAGGACACCTTCCATTTTAAATTACCAGGATAACAGAATAAGCTTTTAAAAATGAGCAAATGCCCTACTCACCTCCACCCACTTCCAGCTCTGAGCTCTCACTCTCATACCCACTCTCTGAGGCCGGCTCGTAACCTTCCAGCTCTCTCCCCTCTTTCTCCTGGTAACCAGTTGCTTGACTTCAGCTCCTGGACTCCTCCCTCTTCACACAGTCAGCATAACATTGGCTGAATTTCCTTCTAAAATAGACCAGATGTTCTGGTCTATCCATCAGCTGCTCCCTAACTTTCTCTTAGCCTTCCCCCAATCTCTTACCCCAGTTCTGGATAAGGTTCTGGATCAACCCCATCACACCCCTTTTTTGATCTTACCGTTAGCCTACTATGCACTCCCTAAAATAAAAATTCAACATTATACATGTGTGTCCTTACAAAGTCAATGTTTTCAATCCACCTAAGCTTTTATCCTTATTTGACAGTCTTCCCACTGTCCTGAGTTAGCTTCCTCACTGATTTCTCTCAAAAACTGATTTGAACCTTCTTTCATCTCCAGGGCCATTTTGGCCATCTCAGTGATACACTAAACATCCCTAAATCAATTGCTCTGAGCCAGATCTCCATTCAGAATACCAGGTCCTATCTCCTGACCCTTAAAAGCCCAACAGTTACTTCAATCTTAACATTTCTAAATTAAAATTATACCTAATTCTTACCCCAACCTGTTCTTCTATAGTACTTCTTTTTGGAATGATACTAAAACCATCTATGTTTACTGATATCTAGGCCAGAAATCAGTAAGTCATTCTTGAGTCCTTCTCAACTCTCCTCTCATAGTTAATTACTCGCTATACCACCACCACTACCACCACCACCACCACCATCATCACCATCACCCCACTATCACCACCACCACCACCACCACTGCTGCCATCACCACACCATATTGCCACCACCATTATCACCCAACCATCACTACTACATCACCACCACCACCACTACCACCACCATCATATCACCACATCACCACCACCACCACTACCACATAACCACCACTACCACTACCTCCACCACCACCACCACCACCACCATCATCAGTCCACCATCACCACCACCACTACCACCATCACCCCACCATCACCACCACTTCACCACCACCACCACCACCACCACTACCACATCACCACCACCACCACAACCATCATCACCACCACCATCAAATCACCACATCACCACCACAACCACCATCATCAAATCACCACCACCACTACTACCACATCACCACTACTGTCACCACTAACATCAAATCAGCACCATTACCACATCACCACCATCATCACATCACTACCACCACTACATCACCACCACCACCATCAGCCATTATCACCCAACCATCACCACCACCACATCATCACCACCACCACAACCACCATCATCAAATCACCACCACTACCACATCACCACTACTATCACCACCACCATCAAATCAGCACCATTACCAATCACCACCACCACTATCATCGAATCACTAACACCATCAAATCAACACCACTACCACATCACCGCCACTGCCACCACCAGCCACTATCACCCAACCATCACCACCACTACATCATCCCCACCACCACTACCACCATCATCAAATCACGACCACCACTACCACATCACCACTACTATCACCACCACCATCAAATCAGCACCATTACCACATCACCACCATCACTATCATCAAATCACTGCCACCATCAAGTCAACACCACTACCACATCACCACCACTGCCACCATCAGTCACTATCACCCAACCATCACCACCACCATGTCATCACCACCACCACTACCACTACCATCAAATTACCACTACCACTACCACTACCACATCCCCACTACTAACACTATCTCCACCACCACCAAATCATCACTCCACCATCACTACCACCATCATCCCACCATAACCACCACCACATCGTCACTACCACCATTACCACATCACCACCACCACCATCAAATCACCACCACCGCTACGATCACCACCATCAAATCAAACCACCATCACCATTACCACATCACCATCACCATCATCAAATCATCACCACTACCACATCATGTGCCACCATCACCACCACCATCACCATCATCTCAACCAGCACCACTACCATCAAATCATCATTACCACTACCACATCACCACCAGCACCATCAAATCATCATTACCACTACCACATAACCACCACCACCATCATCAAATCATCGTTACCACTACCACATCACCACCAGCACCATCAAATCATCATTACCACTACCACATAACCACCACCACCATCATCAAATCATCATTACCACTACCACATCACCGCCGCTACTATCACCACCATCAAGTCACCATCACCACCACTACCACTACCACTACCACTATCAAATCACCACCACCATTACCACATCACCACCACCACCATCATCAAATCATCATTACCAATACCACATCACCACCACTACTACTACCACCATCAAATCACCACCACCATCATCAAATCACCACTACCCTACTGCATCACCACCACCACTACCATCAAATCATCATTACCACTACCACATCACCACCACCACCACTGGCAAATCATCATTACCACTACCACATCACCACCATCAAATCACCATCGCCACCACTACCACTGCCACCATCAAATCACCACCACCATTACCACATCACCACCACCACCATCAAATCATCACCATCACTACCACATCACCACCACCACTATTACCATCAAATCACTACCTCCACTGTCACATCACCACCACTACCACTACCACCATCAAATCACCACCATTACCACATCACCACCAACACCATCATCAAATCACTACCACCATCACATCACCACCACCACCATCATTACCATTAAATCACCACCACCATTACCACATCATCACCACCACCACCACCATCATTACCATTAAATCACCACCACCATTACCCCATCACCACCACCACCACCACCATCATTACCATTAAATCACCACCACCATTACCACATCACCACCACCACCACCACCACCATTACCATTAAATCACCACCACCACTACCACATCACCACCACCACCATTATTACCATCAAATCACTACCACCACTACCACATCACCACTATCACCATCACCCCCACCACCATCACCACTACCATCACCCCTATCACCACCACCACCATCAAATCACCACCACTACTACCACATCGCCACTATCACCACTGCCACCATTACCCCGCACCACCATCACTATCACCACCACCACCACCACCACCACCATCACTACCGCCATCCTGCCCCCCACCATTATTATCCATCACCACTACCACTACAACATCATCACTATTTTCACCACCTTCAACATCATTACCACCACCACCATCACTATTCGCGCCACCACTGTAACTGATAAGATGGGAAACGAAAGTGATTTTTTTCACAAACACACTACCTGTTGGGGTGACTGCCTGGCACATTCAGAGTCACATCAGCAAAGGGCCATGCTGAAGTCATTTCCCACATTAGGTAGCAGCAGCAGAGCCACCTCTGATTCTGCTGAAAGCAGAAAGACCATACTGTTGTGGGCTTTCTGTGTTGCCAGAGCGTGTTATGAAGAAGACTGAGGTTGAGGTTTGTTTCTTTTCCTCTGAGAGCCCCTTATGGTTTTTTGTTTTGTTTTGTTTTGTTTTGTTTTGTTTTTTGAGACGGAGTCTCGCTCTGTCGCCCGGGCTGGAGTGCAGTGGCCGGATCTCAGCTCACTGCAAGCTCCGCCTCCCCAGTTCACGCCACTCTCCTGCCTCAGTCTCCCGAGTAGCTGGGACTACAGGCGCCCACCACCTCGCCCAGCTAGCTTTTTGTATTTTTTAGTAGAGACGGGGCTTCACCGTGTTAGCCAGGATGGTCTCGATCTCCTGACCTCGTGATCCGCCCGTGTCGGCCTCCCAAAGTGCTGGGATTACAGCCTTGAGCCACCGCGCCTGGCCCAGCCCCTTATGTTTTATATGCAACAAGGAAGACTGGTTCATGTCTTCCTAGATCTTCTGTTGTATACTTAATTCAATTTTTACTGTACTGCATGCAGCTCACAGGAAAACTAAATTGGGTGAGTCTCTGCAAGAACCCATTTAATATGCTGTGGGACAGAATGTTGGGGACATGGGTGTGTCTCCTTCCCCCAACCCTGTTGTCTTAGTTATGCAGGCAAATATTAGTTTAGAAATATAACTACCCATTCAAGAGGAAAGACTTGAGCTTCAGATATTTGCTTTTCTGACTTTCTTTCCTTTATTCTTCACATTTTTATATCTATTTCCCTGTTGATAGAGATTAAAGAAAATACTTTAAAATTAATATTCCTCAGAGTCAATCTCCCTAGCAATCATTCCAAATCAGTGAAGGAATGAAGGCCACTGGGAATATGGTTGTAAATGTCAGCTTATTAGAGGGTTCTCAAGCTTGATGCAAACATATTGCTTGTGAAGGGTTGGCATTTTATTCATAGTCACTGAAGGCACCTGTTTCGCACATTGCTTTTTTTCCCATTGTTATTAGCATAATTAATTTTTTTAAATCTCTTAGCACTTTATTTTTTTCCCCCAACTGGGTGAAGTAGCACAGTCTTTGGACCTAAAGGAAATTAAAGACAATTAACCTAAAGAATGAAGCTATTTTCTGTTAGTGGGCATTCATTCTCTGTTTAGATGGTAGAGGGTGTATTTAAAGACTCAAAATAAGCCTGGTGTGGTACCTATAGTCCTAGCTACTCAGAAGGCTGAGGTGGGAGGCCAGGAGTTCAAGGCTGTTGACTGTGAATAGCTACTGCACTCTGGCTTGAGCAAAATAGCAAGATTCCATCTCTCTCTTAAAAAAGATTCAAACCCTTCTTCCTTTGAGTAGATTTGAGGTGGCTTTCAAGTTAGAAAGAAAATGACCTTTAAAGATCAAAAAGGAAATGAAACTATCTGGACACAATTGTTCCCAAACAAGAAAGAAAATTATGACTAAAGGAATATGGTATAGCTTTCCCTTGTGATCATGGAAGAAAGCAAGTCACAGAAACGTCCAGGTGAAGGTCAGATATGGTTCATGACTTTCAATCTAAGTGTCATGATTCTTTGGTATCCACTTCCACAGAACACCCCAAGCTTCGTGGCTCTCTTTTTCCAGGAATGAGAACATATCTGAAAGAGACTTGCTGCTCTACTAGCTTCAACTCCAAGACGTTTTTATAGTTAGACTTTTGGAACATTTTCATAGATTTTGTTCAGTTCTGTCTCTGACTCAGGAAATTAGAGACCTCACTCAATGTGTGCCTGCCTCCCCTCTGAGCAAGTAGTGCCTTTACCATTGGTGGATGCTTGGATATTCCTCTTGCTGCCACCAGGAACAAACATTTGTCCTTGTACCCTGGTACCTCCTGTCCAGTCTTATGAAGCACCAAAGGGGAAAGGAGAAGTTACAGATCCAGGCAAGAGTGGCATCCCCTGCCTGGGTATTCATCCTCCACCTCTCTTCCCCACAGATGGTTGGCTGTGACTATGAGATCGATTCCAATGCCACAGAGGATCGCTGCGGTGTGTGCCTGGGAGATGGCTCTTCCTGCCAGACCGTGAGAAAGATGTTTAAGCAGAAGGAAGGATCTGGTAAAAAACAAATAAATAAAGTGGCAGGAGACCAAAGGTCGGGGGGCAAGATCAATGGTTGATTGATTCCTAGTTTTTGTTTTTATTTTTTTTTAAACAGTCTGTGACATTCAAAGCACTCAAAATGGAATGTAGCCTTTACCATAAAGGAGTAAGGGTTCCTTGGCAGTTTTAGGAAAGAGGTTGATTGCTGACAAAACACAAGATACATCACAGTGAGATAGAGATCTGAAATGGCCTTGTGGTTGTGCACAGGAACAGGTGTAAGAGCGTGATCCCTGGGAGAGGATCCTCTTTGGGAATGGGCATCACAAGAGGATCCAGCATTAAAGCCAATGGCATTGGAACAGACCAAGAACAAGGGGAGAGAAGAGATCAGAAGCTGGCTGGGAAGGCTGCAGACACAAGGACAGATTCTGTAGTGAGGACAGAAGCCAGCAATGGGTTTACAGGCAGAAGAATTGGGGTGCACCTTCAATTCAAAGTCAAAAGAGAAGCAAGGCAAGGTTGTATCAAATCTCTTTTATTCCCAATTTCTCCCTGGGAGAGAGTCCCACCCACTGGTGCGTTATGGCTTTCCAGACAGCTCCTCCACGTAGCATCCCCTTCTGATCCATACTTTACTATTCTTTTCCCATAGTCACTTTTTGTGGAGTTTCTTCTCTGTGCAGCTTTGGGCTATGGATAGTCCTCAGGGCATGAAGAGTCCACCTTCAATGGCGGACCCCAATGCAGAGTCAGTTCCCAAGGAAGGCAGCTAAGAAAGGGTGAACCATCATATGGGAGCCACAGCAGATCTTGCTCCCCTGAGTTTTCCCCACCTGAGGGGTGAAGGAATTGAGATAATATACACCACTTTCCACCAGTCATGGGTTGAGGTTACTCTAGGGAGATCAGACTGTTAATTCTCTGGATTACGTGGAGAGGCTGGGAGTAGGGAATCCATCATGCATTATTGTAGTAGGGCCTGAGGGGAGACGGGCAGCGTCTGCTACACAGCAGTGATGCTCAGCACAGAAAGTGATAGCCACTATCAGAGATGGTAAAGCCCTGTTTTCCTGGATTCTAGAAAAACAGCATCTCTCTTCTAAACATTCTTCCTACCCAGGATGAAGTTATTGAGTAGGATCCTGAGAGGATCAAGTGTGTCCTTCAGTTAATTACATGACCTGTTGTTCCCTAGTAATCATAACAGCCAACAGTCTAAATTTAATTTCCATCCCTCTTTTTCATCTTTGACTATTGGATTACATCTCACAATAAGGTTAAATTGTGAGACTTAATGCTTGTTGTGCCCATGAGAATTACCACTGGAAGATTGTAAAGCTTTGATTGTTAGCTTTATTATGGATGAAAAATATTCTCTGGATTACTTATTTGGAATGTGAATGATAACCCGTGTGTCTTAGGCCTATAATTAAGCACTCTATGATAGCCAGTGTTTTTACAAGCTTTACAAAGGTGTTTTGTAAATATTTTCCATTATTTATAGTGACTTTACTTACTTATAAAAAGTTACACTTAAAATCGTATGTCTACATTTAACCTGTTTTTTTGTGTTGTTATTTGTTTGTTTTTGTTTCTGTTTTTGTTTTTTTGAGACAGAGTCTTGCCCTGTCGCCAGGCTGGAGTGCAGTGCTGCAATCGCAGCTCACTGCAACCTCTGCATGCCGGGTTCAAGTGATTCTCCTGCCTCAGCCTCCTGAGTAGCTGGGACTACAGGCGTGCGCCACCACACCCAGATAATTTTTGTATTTTCAGTAGAGATGGGGTTTCACCATGTTGGCCAGAAAGATCTTGATCTCTTGACCTCATGATCCACCCACCTTGGCTTCCCAAAGTGCTGGGATTACAGGCGTGAGCCACCACGACCGGCTGACTTGTTTTATTTAATTTTCTTTATGAGTTCCTATCTTGGCCTCTGAAGTGCTATTCTTCTAATATTATGATAACTCCATTGAAAACCAGAGTTGTTGTCCCCAGGTCTCTGCCACTTAACCTTTTAATCCTTTAGGAAATCCGACTCTAATTCTGGGTTCTTTCCTCTACCCTGGTCTCTTGGGAATGAGAAAAAGGGATTATAAATGTCTTCTGCTCCCCTCTCATCCCTACCCCTGCCTGCCTGCAAGATCTCAATACCTCTGGCCACATGCCCACCACTGAGCATTTGACATCTCCCTGTGCCTCCGTGTTTTCAGTTCTCTTTCTCCCATGTCCCTTTTCTTCAATTCCTTTCCACCAGTTTCTAACAAGAGGGTTATGGTTGCTCGCAGTGTGTTACAAGATTCCAATTCTCTCACAACCCTCTTTTGAGATAACTGAAACTAAGAGTCTAAATCTAAGGCAAGGCATTTTAACTTCTCAAAATATCTACCAGGTACTGTTATTTTTATATATTTCTTCCTCACTCTGTGGTTTGTGAGCCTGTCAAACACTGGTTTGTTTCTGAACCAGATACCTACGTGTCAGTGCTCTCAAGCCTGGGATCAGACATGGACCAGCCTTTCCCGGGAGCCTTCACGCATAAATCATCATGAGATATTGGCCTGCAATGAGCATTGTCTCAAATGGACAGCATAAATCTTTAAAAAGACAAGTTGGCCACTGTAGATAAACTGCCCAGGGTTAATGGTATAACCTCTTTATGAGCACATTTTTATTAGAAATGTCAAAGACTGCAGACCAAATATGCCAGTGAGTAAAGTCCGTTTTTGTGGACCACAAAAACTGTTGGATAAGATGTGTGTTAGTGTCAATAATGCATGATGTCTCTTATCACAATCTCAGAAATGGGGGCCTATCTTTTGCCCCATCCTCAAACATCCTGTTTTGTTTTGTTTTGTTTTGTTTTGTTTTGAGATGGAGTCTTGCTCTGTCGCCCAGGCTGGAGTGCAGTGGCACGATCTAGGCTCACTGCAATCTCTGCCTCCTGGGTTCACGTCATTCTCCTGCCTCAGCCTCCCTGGTAGCTGGGATTACAGGTGCATGACATCACGCCTGGCTAATTTTTGTATTTTTTTTAGTAGAAATAGAGTTTCACCATGTTGACCAGGCTGGTCTCAAACTCCTGACCTCATGATCCAACCACGTCGGCCTCCCAAAGTACTGGGATTACAGGCATCCTGAGTATTCTTTTAGCTCAAGATGCTCAAGACTGGGATAGTGATGGAATTGTTTCTCCAGGTGGTCTCCTTGGACCCAGAGACTTCTTATTTGAGGTCGGAATTATGTTTCTCCTCTTCCCCTAATACTGGTACAAGTAGCTAATGCTTGCACTGGGGAAGATGCAAGAAAATTGATTTGCTGAACAAATATACTCATCATTCTTAATACAGCTGACCCTTGAATAACATGGGGTCGAACCGAATAAGTCCAGTTAGTATAAGGATGTTTTTCAATAACTATATTGAAAAATGTTTTGGAGATTTGTGACAGTGTGAGGAAACTCACAGATGAACTGTGTAGCCTAGATATATCAGAAAAATTAAGAAAAAGGTATATCATGAATGTGTAAGATATATGTAGATATTAGTCTCTTTTATCATTTACTACCATAAAATATACACAAATCTATTAGAAAAAGTTAAAATCTACTAAAACTTATGAACACAAACACTTACAGACCATACATGGCACCATTTGCAATTGAGAGAAATGTGATCAAACCAAAGATGCAGTATTAAATCATAACTGCATAAAAGTGACTGTAGTAATACTATACTACCATAATAATTTTATAGCCACCTCCTGTTGCTATTGTGGTGAGCTCAAGTGTTGCAAATACCTGCTTAAAATGCTGTGTGATGCTCATCATTTCCATGTGAGGAGATCATCTGTCCATTAAATTGCATATCACAGTAAAAAGTGATCTCCTGCAATTCTTGAATATTTTTCATTGTGTTTAGCACAATGCCATAAACCTTGAATAACACCATGGGATTTATACAAAGTGCCACTAAGTGATGCTGGAAATGTTCCCAAGAAGCAGAGAAAAGTCATGACATTACAGGAGAAAGCTGAATTGCTTGGTATGTACCATAGATTGAGGTCTGCAGATATAGCTGTCTGCTACTTCAAGATAAATGAATCTAGTGTAAGGACCATTATAAAAAAAGAAAAGGAAATTTGTAAAGCCATCACTACAGCTATGCCAGCACGTACAAAAACCTTGCACTTTTTGTGAAACTTTTTATCTTTCATGCAGCTTTCACATCAGTGCAGGACTGCTATAGGAAAGGCATACCACACCTGTAGACTCTGATATGATTCAACATAAAGCAAAGTCATTGTCTGGGTGTGGTGGCTTATGCCTGTAATCCCAACACTTTGGGAGGCCGAGGCGGACAGATCATGAAGTCAAGAGATCGAGACAATCCTGGCCAACATGGTGAAACCCCACCTCTACTGAAAATACAAAAATTAGCTGGGCGTGGTGGCACGCACCTGTAGTCCCAGCTACTCGGGAGGCTGAGGCAGGAGAATCGCTTGAACCCAGGAGGCAGAAGTTGCAGTGAGCCAAGATCTCACCACTGCACTCCAACCTGGTGCCAGAGTGAGACTCCATCTCAATAAATAAATAAATAAATACAAAGCAAAGTCATTATATGACAACTTAAAGCAAAAGGAAGGAGAGGGATGTAAAGCTGGATAATTTAATAGCTGCAAAGTATGATTTGATAATTTTTGAAAGAGGTTTGGTTTTAAAAATGTCAAGATAACAGAAGAAGCAGCTTCTGCAAGAGACATCAGATGAGTCTCCAGCTGCCATTAAGAAAGTCCTTGAAGAGAAAAAAATCTGCCTAAACAGATTTTTAATGTGGATGAAAGTGGCCCTATTGTGGGGCAAACGTGCTAAAAAGGATATTTACTAGTAAAGAAGATAAACGAATACCAGATTTAAGGCAGGAAGGAATAGGCCACCTCTATTGTTTTGTGCAAATGCCGTCAGGTTTATGATTTATTAAGGTGCTAACCTAACAGCCTTGAAGGGAAAAGATAAACACAAGCTGCCAGTCTTTTGGTTGTACAAGGAGAAGGCCTGGACAATGAGAATGCTTCTTCTGAATTTGATGCATTGATGCTTTGTCCATGAAGTCAGGAAGTACCTTGCCAGTAAGGAATTGCCTTTTGAAGTTCTTTTGATATTGAACAATGCCTCTGGCTACCCAAAACTCTATGAGTTAAGCACCAAAGGCATCAAAGTGGCCTACTTGCCCTGAAACACAGTGTCTCTAATTCAGCCTCTAGATCAGAGGGTCATAAGGATCTTCTAGGCTCATTACACCCAATACTCTGGAAAGGAGTGTCAACATTGTGGAAGAGAACTCTGATAGAAACGTCATGAAAGTCTGGAAGGATTGCAACATTGAAGATGCTGTTGTCTGAGAAAACGCCGTGAAAGCCATGAAGCCCAAGAGTAAATTTCTGCTGGAGAAAACTGTGTCCCAATGTTGTGGATGACTTCACAGGACTTATAACAGAGACAATCAAGGAAATCATGAAAGAGATTGTGAATATGTGAAAAAGGTGGGGGTGAAAGGTTTCAAGATATGGATTTTGGAGAAACTCAAGAGTTGCTAGACACCACACCAGGGGAATTAACAGAAGACAAATTGATGAAGAGAGTGCTTCCGAACCAGGACCAGAGGACTGTCCCAGAAAGAGGATGGAGAAGAAACAGTGCCAGAAAACAAACAGACATTGGACAGTCTAGCAGAAGGGTTCTGTTTACTCAAGACTGCTTTTGATTTATTTTATGACATAGACTTTTCTATGATGCAGACACTGAAACTAAAGCAAATGGTAGAAGAAGGATTGGTACCTTATAGAACACTTTTAGAGTAATGAAAAAGCAAAATGTCAGACAGAAATTACAATGAATTTCTGCAAAGTTTTACTGAGTGTGTCTGCCTCTCTTCCTCCATCTCCACTTCCTCCACCTTTTCTACCTGAGAGAAAAATCAATCCCTCCTCTTCGTTTTCCTCCTCAGCCTACTCAACATGAAGACAACAAGGATGAAGGTCTTTATGATGGTCCACTTCCACTTAATGAGTAGCAAATACATTTTCATTATGAATTTCTTAACATTTTATTTTCTCTAGCTTACTTTAGCATAAGAATACAATATATAATGCATATAACACAAAAAATATGTAGTAGTGGACTGTTTATGCTATTGGTAGAGCTTCTGGTCAAGTAGTTAAGTTTGGGGATAGTGAAAACTTAGACACAAATTTTTTTACTTGCATAGGGACTTGGTGCCCTAATCCCTATGTTGCTGATGGGTCACTTGTACTTTGGAGCTATTCTTACTGGTCCTTCTTTTATCTACAAGGTATTCAGAAGCAGTAAATTAAGTATGCGTCTTTCAATCTGCCCATAATAAATATTTCTAATTTTGGATTTTCTCTCTTAAGTGGAAGAATAAAAAGCAAACTCTGTTGTTTATTGTTTTTTTCTATTTCGGTTTTCATTTTTTAAAAGCAAGGAGCAAGGTGGTAGACACAGTATTTCATACCAGTTGATTTACCTGCATGAGCTCTGCTATGAAAAGGCATGCAACATCCTAAGTAAGAATATGACTGCAGATAGCAACACTCGAAGGGCATTTATTTTTAAAAAACATTAGCCTCGATTACATGTGATCAATATCTTCCCCAAGGTGGTTATACATTAGTGGTTTTAATCAGCTGTTCCAGACAAGTCTTTGGGAGCCAAATGGAACTTAATTAAATACTACGCAAACCACATTTTGGTTCCTCTGGATGAGAGCTGTCAATTTGAAAAATGAGGCTGAGGTTGTGATCTGTATCCAGTTTCAGAGCAAATTATTCTTGCTGGACAGTCCAGGGTTTGACCCCCAGGATCCCATACTTCTTTAATGCCAGAGGAACATGAAGAAATTGAGGCACTTTCAGGTGACAAAGAGGAAGGGCTTGCTCATCAGACCAAATAACCTAGTGCATATCCAGTGGAAAAATGACCAAGATCTTCAGCGTCTTAAAACTGTATTTTATATATTTTTTTAAAAAAGCTGAAAGAACAAAGAATAGTTAGCTTACAAAAGAGGAAAATCACTGACTATTAGAGCTGAGAGGGACCGCAGATGTCATCATTCAGTCCCCTTCTGTGCAATGAGATTCAAAAAGTTAGATGAATCAATGAAAGTCATAGAGCGGATTTGCAGAAATGCAGAGACTAGAATCCAAGTCTTTCAACTCCCATTGCCCCAGAACTCCTTTCACCATGCCAACCTCCAAGTCCATGTTCTTTCCATTTTATGAGGTATTGGTTCTCAAGAAGCATAAATAAGGTGAATGCATAAAATGTTTAGCATAGAACCTGGCAAACACTGGCAACTGCTAAGCATTCATTCCTTTTATCACCAGTATGCCTGTTACCATAATGACCATTAAACAAGAATAAGACTGTGGCTAGAGTTGATTGTTGTCTTTAAGTAAATGTCAACATATGACGCTTTTTCGGAAGGCTGAATTAGAACACATGAGAATAAATTATAAATTGCTATTTCAGCAATATATAAAAGAAAAAATGAGAAAGAAAACTTTCTAATGAATAGAATTGTCCAACAGTATAAAAGGCTGTACTCAGAGTTGAGTTCCTCATAACAGGCTGTATTAAAGATAGCCAGGTGACAAACAATCTGAGATTCCCTCTAGGATTTTCTTAATGAATGGAAGCTAGGATTACATTACTTCTAAGAGTCTGTCTTTAACCTGCTGGCAAAGGGGGGGTGAGGTAAAGTATATATCCAACGCAATGTTTAGGAAGTCTAATTTAATAGCCACAAAGGGGGAAGCAGAAATACTAGCAGGAAGCTAGCAAGGAGCTTTAGGGTTTTGAACTATCAACATAAAATTACAGAAAAATAACTGCTAGATCAACCACAAAAGCTTCAGAGTCCAATCTGCACTTATTTCACCCCTCCTTACAAAACCAGGCACATATTGAGTCACAAAACTCCTGAGAATTCTGGTCCTGTCCAAGTTCTCGAAAATCCCCCATAATTAGTGCTTCTGCCAATCCCAGTGGCTATCCAGCAAGGGCACTAAATGATGGGGAGGCTGGAAAGAGGATGAACAATGGGTCAGAAACAGTTTGCATTCAGTTGAGAAGCTGGCGTGCCTCTTTCATGATTGTGTCTTCTCTCCTTAGGTTATGTTGACATTGGGCTCATTCCGAAAGGAGCAAGGGACATAAGAGTAATGGAAATTGAGGGAGCTGGAAATTTCCTGGCCATCAGGAGTGAAGACCCTGAAAAATATTACCTGAATGGAGGGTTTATTATCCAGTGGAACGGGAACTATAAGCTGGCAGGGACCGTCTTTCAGTATGACAGGAAAGGAGATCTGGAAAAGCTGATGGCCACAGGTCCCACCAATGAGTCTGTATGGATCCAGGTAATGCAGAAAGGAGGGAAACTGCTGACATGTGTACTGGTTAGAATACTTCTCATTTTTCCCCCTAGGTATTTGCTAGGTGACATCAAGTAAGAATCTTTAAAACCTCTTTTAGCAAGGAGCAGGGAGGGGAATGAGATATTAGTTTGTGCTGTTAATACTTTATTGCCTAGATATTGCTGAAACCCCCAAAACAAAATGCAAAATGCAAGGTGCTCTAAAACCACTCACTGGGAAGTTTGAGTTCAGCTTCTGGGCTGACTTATTGAGGGTGATTTTTCCTCAAGTCTATTGTCATTGTGGCACGGGTTTCCAAGTAGCTTTCCAGCAGTGAGGATAAACTGACATGTTACTCTGTGTTGTCCTGAAGCAAAGCATTTGGCTTTGTGAAATTCTTGCTGGAAGGAGGAGTTAGAATACAATATGTGCTCTTCAAAGGTACAAGAAATTTGTCTTTCATACTGGGCACAGAACTGTAGACAAGGAGTGGAATGGATATACCAATAGCAGCAAAGCAGATTGAGGATGACAGATGACCAAGGAGTTAGATCCAGCCACAGTCTAAAGTTAGAGAGACATCCTTTTCGAGCCAGAGATCAGAGCACTCACAGAAGCTGAAGGTCAAGCATGGCAGCTGTGATCCGTGAGTGTCAGGAGACTTTGCTTCCCCAGGGAGCAACCAACCCACTGCCTCTATGGTTAAGGTGAATCCATTTTAAACATGTGATGAGTAGACTGCCTGCAGGAGACGGAAGTAAGGGGAAGATCCCAAGAGCAGCATCGCTGAGCTAAAGCCCATGACCATTGTCAGCTCAGAACTACTATTTGTTAAAGGTACTGAATAGCCTGAGAGGTAGGGAAAGCCATCATAAGACAACAATAACAAACATCATACAAGTTGACATTCACTGAGGCACTGTTCTAACCACTTTACATGTGTTTACTCATTTAACCCTCAGAACAATCCTACAAATAGACACTATTTATTATCCCCACTTTGTATATGGGCAAACTATGGCACTTACCTATATTCACAAAGCTGGTAAGTACGTAAGAACACAAAGTAACCTATCAGCCTATTGTTGGAAAGGACACTCCTCGCCATTTCCACAAAGTACTCCCCATATGATTTGATCTCCCCATTTATGTGAACTGAAATTCCCACGGGAATCCAGCCAAGAAATAATTGGATGGAGAATATATAGCTACAGAGGTAGAGGTGGACATATAGTTATGAACTTAGACACAGACATAGGTATAGATCTATTTAATGTCATTTGTTCCAATGCATGCTCCCATTACTAATTTTAGGTGACTGACATCGTGTGGTGTTTTTACATGACTGGCTTACAGTATAAAGTCATGACAGTTTGACATGACCCCTCTCTTGCCTTTTAGCTTCTATTCCAGGTGACTAACCCTGGCATCAAGTATGAGTACACAATCCAGAAAGATGGCCTCGACAATGATGTTGAGCAGCAGATGTACTTCTGGCAGTACGGCCGCTGGACAGAGTGCAGTGTGACCTGCGGGACAGGTGAGAAACAGCCGCTGTCACTATGAAACCATGCCAGCCTCAGAGCAGGTCATAGAGGCAATTACACCAGTGATTTGCTTTGTGCTGTCTGCCCACGGATCTGCAGGGCTCCACTGAGATGGCCAGGGGCCTCTGTGGACAGTGAGCCTGCAGGGTCATGGTTTGAAGAGAGGCAGTTTTTCTCTTTTACCAGCTCTATATACTGGCCTTTTATAGAGCTGATAAAAACTTTGATAAAAGTTTTCCGTAAAACCTTTGTTTGAAGGGTTCGTTACATGTCGAACAAAAAGCATTAACAACCACTGCTCTGGATGAGAACCTGAGCACCACAAAAGTGGAACAACTCCTCAAATGTGTACCATAAATCTTGGTCAAATTCAAACTACAACCAGCTCTTCTGATTCCTAACCCAGTGCTCCTTCTCCATCTCCTGTTTTAAACATGTGATGAGTAGACTGCCTGCTTTACACATAAAGCAGGGCAGCAGCTTACTCTCACAAAATCAAGCACTGGAGAGGTTCACTTGCTGCCATGTATTAGTCAGGATGAGATAAGTTCTGCCACAAGAACAAAAACATTGAAATCTTAGTAATTCAACACAATGAAGGTTGATTTTTTAACCCATTGTATGCCTGAAGCAGGTTAGAAGACTCTACTTCATTTCCTACATAAGGCATACAAAACACATGGCTTCCAGCTTGCCCCGTAAGGAAAGAAAGCTGGGAGAGGCACCCTGGCTCTTTTGACAGCCTTGGCCTGGAAGTGCTGCAAGTCACTTCCACTCACATCTCATTGGTTGGTGTTAGTCACATGGGTACCATCTAACTGCAAAGGGAGGCTAGCAATTATGGAGGAGTACATGGACATTTGAGGAGCATGGGATCTCTCTGCTGCAGTGCTGGATGAACTTTCCCAAACCCTATGAAGTCAGGGGTCAGGGCCTGTTGAATACATGGGGCTATATCACTCATTTAGGGGGCTTTAGTAATATCACCATATGCAAAAGCCTCTACCTCTCTTTCTCCTTTGGGTCACGTCTAAGTCTGTTCTGAAACTTCTTGCCTCTAGCGTATAACTGCAACCTGCAAGACTAGGGCAGCTATAGAGTGATGTGCCAGAATTGGTGATGTAGCAAAAGGGAAGAAAAGTGAAGCAGTGAATGGACCAGAAGACCATGGCCTACTCCCCTACAGGCTTCCCTCTCACATGCCAGCACCTGCTCACTGGCTTTCCCACCCCTGAGAGTTGTGCACCATCAACCTTATAAACAATTTTTATATTATCAGCTTCTTTCTTTCCCCATTTCAGCACAGAAAGCCAAGGTTAGCTTTTAGAATTCATAAAAATAAAACGTTCATTCTAAATTGTGTGATATTTTAACAATGCTAACTAACCCTCTGGAAATCTATCAAGGTCAAAGGTGCAGTCAGTGTTAGCAGCCATGAGCGGTGTTGATAGGAGAGTCAGTCCTGCCATTCCTACCGCTGCCTCTAGCATTTCCAAACGTACTGCCCACCACTGCCCAGGGTTGGGGGCTGGGCCTAGAGTTAGGCAAAGGCAATTTAAGTAGAAAATAAGTAGGTGAAAAAAACTTCCCCTGAGGAGCAATGGGAGGAAAATGAAGTCATTGTGACTATAGATATAAATACTTTGTCGATTTGTCATCCCCTTTGTTCTCATCTTTCTATGACGTACAAGTTTAAGCTCTAAGTCATTTGTCCCAGGACACCATGGAATGAAACAGCCAGTGCTGATGGTAGGGACTCCCAAAAGAAACAAGAGAACATCCTCCACCCTCTTCTATTTCAAGATAGAATGGACCCTTTGCATCACACAGACAATATTTCAGAACACCAGGAATCAAGAGATAAGTGGCTGACGTGTGCAGTGATCTTAAAAAGACATCTGAAGTCAGCTAGAAAATTGGACACTCTTACCAGATGTAAATCAGACATTTGGTTTTGTTACAGCCTAAGCCTTCAGCAGCACCTCCACCTACCTAGGTAAATGTCACTCTGATTACTAAGCCTTAATGGGAAAGATCACAATGCTCACATACTCACCTGAACTTCAGCCTCACTGTTTGTTTGAGTGAGGGCGAATCTTAACTCTGGCAAAGAAGAAAGACAGCATATCTACTGTAATATTCTCAAACAGAGAGGATGAAATGCTATTATTCACACAGGACACACATTGCTAATATAACATTGGAATGTTGCCTGAAACACTGAATCATTCAGTGGTGGATTTTTATTTTATCTAAGCTAAAACTTTAAGCTTAACTTTAAAAGTAAGTTAAACACATGACTGAAACATGAAAAATTGTCACCACCCTAACACATGCACTTTTGCTACTTTTCTTTCCTTTCAATGCATTTTTTTCTAATCATAGATGTATAAGTTGTATGCATACAGATGCATTAGTTGTATGCATACAGATGCATTTATGTACATGACACACATGTATTTTTGCTTATCACAATAGGGATACTTTTTCAGGTGTTATACAATCTTCATAGCTATCAATTTTAAAGATGCATTTAATTTGCTGAAAAGATAAAGCAAAATTTCCTTAACCAATTCCTTATTGCTGTTCTTCTGATGAGCATTTGGGGACCTGTGTAAAAAAAATGGTCTCCTGAGTTTTAATTTCTATGTGAAATTTCTAGGTTTAAAGAATATAAATATTCTGATAATTGACTTACACCAAATTACCAGATAATATTAACTTATTGCCAAATTGATTTCCATACTAAATGGGTTACAAATAGGTGGTAGCAATCATTTTAATTTTAAATTATTGTGTTATTTTAGTTTTACTGAGAAACATTTCAAACATGCTAGCAAAATAGAGAATGTAGTAACAAATTCCTTTGTACTAACCACTCAGCTTTATTGCTCTTACCATTTTGTTGTTTGTTTCAATCTTTACTATTATAGACAAAAAAAAAAAAAATCCCACAACTACAATCAAGAAGCGCATTCCACCTCCACTTCCTTCACTTTTTCCCCAAAGTTCACTAGGGTCATGAAACTAGTGTTTATTATTCTATGTATATGGTTAAATACTTTTACTATACATATGTGTAGCCATACACATTATATAGGATTGTTTCTCAGGCATTTAAGCTTTCTGCAAATAGTATCATATGCACTATACCATGCTTTGTCTTTTTTCCCCTCAACATTATGCTTTTGAGATAAATCCACATTGATTAAAGTAACTCTAGTACTTTTTTGTTCTGTTGCCCAGGCTGGAGTGGAATGGCAAGATCTTGGCTCAATGAAACTTCTACCTCTGGGTTCAAGCGATCTCTTGCCTCAGCCTCCCAAGTAACTGAGATTACAGGCATGCACCATCACATCCAGCTAATTATTGTGTTTTTAGTAGAGACGGGGTTTCACCATGTTGGCCAGGCTGGTCTCAAACTCCTGACCCCAAGTGATCCGCCTGCCTTGGCCTCCCAAAGTGCTGGAATTACAGGGATGAGCCACTGTGCCCATCTCTCATACATTTATTTTAAGGGTTGTGTACTATTCTATTGCATGAATATATCATGACTTATTTATACATTCTACTATTTTGCAGCTACAAATATTTCTGCAATTCTGTAATGAATACCTTATTATTATTCCCTTATTACCTCAATATTTGGGCTTCTTTAATATGTATACCTAAAAGTAAAATTCCTAGGTCATACTGTCTGTGCATATTATAGGGGTAAATCTGTGAACTTATAGGGTGCCATGGAATATTTTAAATTTTCCAGGGAAACAATGAAATGTTAAAGGGAAACACAGTAAGAGTTAACATTTCTTGGACATCATGTGTCTACTATTAGCTCGAGGTAGTTCAAGGTTAAGTCATACTACATTCTTTTCAATGACATTCTGTGTTTGTGAAACTGGTTTTTCAGTGGTTGCTTTGATTAAAAAATCAATTACCACCTGAAAATCAACGTGAAACCGGAAATATGGCATCTAGTCTCATTCCAAGATTTGAAAAATTGTACAATATCCAATAGATTCACACATCTCATCAACGTAAGTTAGTTTAAAATGAAACAAAAATAGTATTTTTTTCTTTTTCTTTTTCTTTTTTTTTTTTTGGTTTTTTTTTGTTTGTTTGTTTGTTTATTTGAGATAGAGTTTCATTCTTGTTGCCCAGGCTGGAGTGCAATGGCTAGATCTTGGCTCACCGCCACCTCCACCTCCCAGGTTCAAGTGATACTCTCTTGCCTCAGCCTCCCGAGTAGCCAGGATTACAGGCATGCGCCACCACACCTGGCTAATTTTGTATTTTTAGTAGAGACAGGATTTCTCCATGTTGGTCAGGCAGGTCTCGAACTCCCTACCTCAGGTGATCCGCCCGCTTCGGCCTCCCAAAGTGCTGGGATTACAGGCGTGAGCCACCATGCCCTGCCTGTTTCTCAGTTTATATGTATTATTTTTTCAGATGGCTACTAAGTTGTTGGACCATAAATCTTTAATAAGTTAGGACTGAATTATTTAATGAATGTAACTGTTAAATGTCTTATTTTGCATAGAGGCTGCATGAAAAATGACTGAAACCTGAAGGACAATATGAACCAAAAATGTTGCAAGTCTCTGTTCTAGTCTTTGCCGTGTCTTTTAAACTTTGTTTGCATTGGCTTATTTACATTGAGTAGAACTCATATTAAGCAGAAATATTACACTTTGTGAAGCAGGAAATCACTTGTGCCCAGGATTTCGAGATCAGCCTGGACAACATGGTGAAACTCTGTCTCTACAAAAATTACAAAATGTAGCCAGGTGTGGTGGTGGTACGTCGCTGTAGTCCCAGCTACTCTGGGGGCTGAGGCACAAGGATTACTTGAGCCCAGGAGGTTGAGGCTGCAGTGAGCCGAGATCCTGCCACTGCACTCCAGCCTGGGCAACAGAATAAGAACCTGTCTCAAAAAAAAAAAAAAAAAAATTTTTTACCTTGAGATTAGTTGTTTGTTTAGCTTGGGGCTGGA